ATGGGATGACTCAACTCAGCAGTGTGGACTGGCTGAACACATGATTTCACAATCAAATAATCAGTCACTTTTTTTAAAAAAGGGCAAATTTATGCAGCCACTTGGAAGAAAAGAGCAAAGTGCTGCCTAAAATTCCTTTTATTTACAGTGGGAAATGAAGCATGAGTAAGACGATTAGAACTGTAATTAAACAAGAGATTCAAATCCACAGATAGGCACAAAATGAAGAAGGAGCTGTCAGGGAATCAGTGTAGAACAATTCTGAAGTGCTTTTTCCTCTGTAAGCCCAAGGAACAACCCTCCTAAATTTGTCTTCAACAAGAAGATATCTCCAAAAGCCCCTCTGTTTACACTTAAAAGCTGGGCCAGAGGAAAAGATCTGGCTAATCTTTCCACTTAGAAAGATATCCCATCCATAGCACATACAAAGATGCTGAAGTTTGAGCTTCATTACGAATAGGAGAAAACAATTTTCTAAGTATGACAGGGTGAAATCCCAGAGGAGATATTGTCAGCAGTCAAGTAAAGCTTGAGTTTGGCTCCAGTCCTGAATTATATCCGTTTCTATCATTTGCCAAACACCACCTTCCTTCTCCAGATGCTGCCAACATCCTAATATCATACTGCATTTAAGTACCATTCCTACTCTCCTTCCATGTATTATGCAGTTCTTGGCATGTTTTCAGCAGCTTTTCTAAAGCCACTTCCAAACTCACTTTGATAGGTTTCAATAGCTTGCTGAGAGGCAGATAATCCACCCTTTGTCACCATGGATTGAGTCCTGTCTCGAAAAAAGAACAACTCCATTTCATCAGAGAAAGACAGTCAGGAATAAATTTGCCACTGCTAACAAGCTTGACTGGGTCACAGCTTTGTGTACTGGAACAGAGGGTTTAAGACCCTGAAACAGGTCAGTACTGTGAGGAGTATTCTACTCAGCTTCTCTGCTATGCATACTTTAATACACAGGATCATTTATTTTCTTAGACCATGTCAATTACCAGAGGAAAAGTACCTTCCAGAGGAACCAGAGGAAACCTATAAAGTACCTGCTGTGCTTTGGTTTTAATTCAACATCCTTTATTTCTACTATGTAAGAGGACTCCGTGCTTTTTTTCCCCCGTACGTTTCCTGATGTAGCAAAACAGACAGCCACATTCAGTCTTTAGCTAGCTTAGCGAAATGCCAGGGGGAACACAACCATCCCCAGCCCTCAGCCATAGATGTATTTGTGCAGATCTTCATTACAAATAGGAGCCCAATGTGCACTGGAAGCTCTGCTACAAAATTTCCAAGAAAAAACTGTCTTCTCTCTTTTCTACTTGACAGCAGGGAAAACAGCTCTGTGTTCTTAGCGAAGCCCAGGATCTGTGGGCCTGAGGGGCTTCATTCTTTACAGACAGCGATGGACGTATTGCAAAACAGTATCTACAGATTTATTTGCAACTGCAAGAACACATCTGCTTTGGCTTTGCTCGGAGTTCTCTCGTGGTCCCATTCCATGAATGTTCATTCAAGTGAGTTCTTTGAAAAAGCTAGATTTATATTTGCTTTGTCAAGTTTGTGAAGGAAGTAAACTTCAGATGAACATGTTTTGTTTTCTCAAGAAGGATAGTTCTGCTCAGGAAGCAGAAACAATGCCATTTAGTGATGAGACCATTCAAAAGTAAGAAGGGCAGCTCAAATTGCAAGGCAATAAGCGGGAAGAATCTCATAAAATAATTTTATAGAAACAGTGCACATGAGAAAAATCACAGTCTGCTCCTGGCTGCTCAATGGAAAAGAGAAAAAACTTTGCTGTATGATCTATTCGGTACAAAATTATTCAGTTCATCTCCAAGACCAACAAACCAGATTAGAAATACATGTTCTTCAGTTAGCTTCCTTAAACCTGCTGGAAGTGGGCATAAGTGTTGGATAATTTCATCAAGAGCTGTTATGATGACGTGTTTTTTCTTTCCATTAAAAACACCCAGCCACAGCTGTTGTAAGGGAAAAAAGCCCATCCACTCAACATTTCCTTACCTCACATCTCAGTGGTGAGTTTCCACCCCTCAAGTTATGCTTTAATTAACTAAAAAAAAAAAAAAAGCAAAGCCTTCTGATTTGAAGCAGGGTGGAGGTGCTTTCCTATACCCCCATCACAGCATGGGTAGCAGATTATTAGTCTAAAGCAAAACAACACAACAGAGGATACCTAAGCTGCCACATTTGATTGTGCTGAATTTGACTGGGATGGTCCCTGAATGCAGATTGTTGGTGCCTGTTTGCAGTTGCAACTTATTCTGAGGTGTAAAACCTTTTGAAAGGGCTGTCAGGGGCTAGGCTGGATTTTATAATTAATTTAATGATATAAAATCAGAGGCAGCAGCACACGTTCTTAATCTTGTGATTCCTTTGGCAGTAACAAAAGATGAGCTAATTGTGTTTTTGCAAGTATATCTCTTGATATTCTATGGCATCAAAGACATAACTGCACTACAGTACCTGCACCCATGTATTAGGGACTGCTGCATTTAACCCACTCAGATGGCACTGTGGAGATCATCACTGTCAGGGAATGTCAGCAGAAAAAGCTGTAAGAAATGGCACAGATCTTTTCCATGGGGTATTTTCCAGCTAGTCAGAGGAAACCCGTTAATTGCATACTCTTGTGTCTCCTAGTACAGGCTGTAATCGTTATAATAATGCTGCAGCTTATCACATAAAGACCCTGAAACTACCTCAGGGCATCAAAACTCAAAAAAATTCCATTGAAGAGCCCATTAGAATAAAGGTGGTTCCAAAGGTTTCAGTGAGGTTTGTAGGAATCTGTACCAAGTTCTGCTTTCTTACTCCTCAGCAGCTTATATTCCCAGAAATAAGAAGCTACTTGCAAATTCTTTTTCCCCAGGAAGATACTTCAGAAACAATTTGTGACAATCAAAACTCTATAATACGGGAAAAATCTGTGTTTCCTGAAGTTACTTCTTGTGACAGTTATTTTCTGAGTATCATTAGAGAAAAAAGAACACTGATTCATGTCTGGTGCCACTTAACTGACCATTAACATCAGCACCCCATGGACTTGTCCCCAGCATGTACATTATGCTCTCTCTTTTCAAAGCAACAAAATCCAACATCTCGGTAGGACTATGAGCATAATGTCTGGAACAGATTATTTAATCATATCTGAACCTGTCATCTCATTTTATTTTTGGCACTATTCTCCCCTTAACACTTGTAAATGAGGCTGCCTTAGTCAACAGTCGTATTCCAAGATCTCAGCAGTGTGTGTCTCAACTGATGGGTCACCAACCTTGGGACCTCAGTTCTGCTCTGCACTTTTTTCATAGCTCCATCTATTACTTGAGAAAATCTCCCTGGTAGAAGTCAGCACCTTTTATTCTCGCTCAGATTGACCTCTGTGGAATAATAATATTTGGGAATAGGTTGTGAGTTTGTGATAGTAGCTGGCTAAGAAGTGCATCTGTGACTCCCATGTTTTATTCCTCAGCTGAATGTGCTTATTTCTTCCCTCTTTTGTTGCTTTTTGCCTTCTGTGTGTGTTCTTGGTTTTTAAAAGAGGAAGGAGATGCATTGCTATTATATGTGTGTACTGTGCAGTACTGTAGAGTTCCTTTCAATGATTCTCACACAGTTTATTACTAATATTGCAAATTACCATCATCTTTCTGCTAACCTTATAAGAAAAAAAATATCTGGGAATAGTGCACAGCACAGATGCAAAGGCCTAACAGAAGAGAGGTGACTAGAAATGAATGACCACCATAACCATTCAAAGAACTAAAATTGTATCACAGATGAGTTTGGTATTTTCCTCCAAACTTTGGTGTGCTTCTCTTTTTCCTCCTCTTATTCCCATTGTGAGTCAGGGACAGAGAAAGATAAATCTGTTGGGATTTTCATAGGCATCACAGGAAGTTCTAATGCAAGCACTGATGCTGTCTTTCCTCGAATCACGTCTGAATGAGCTTCCTTAGATGTGCGCTTAGAAAAACAACGAGGGCATTGTGAAATACAGTCCCTTTCCAATTCCAATCATGTGCTTTCTTGGACATTGGGTTTCCATCAGCAAGTTTTTCTTACTCACTAATAACAGGATGCAATAATTACAGTGGTCCTAACACCCAGCTCTTGTTCATGGAGGAGCGAGCGATCTGTAACAGTGGACTGGCGCAGGAAGGTGCTGTATGCACTTCTACCACTGGCTCCTGGGAGGGAGCTGGTTGCAGTGGGGCTCCCACTGACACCTGGTGACCCCAGCACTGGTGTGCCTCATCCTCCCTCCAAGTGAAGCATTCAGAAGGAATGAAAAGAGGTGCTCGCTGCTGTGAGCATGTTCTGCAAGCTCTGAGGAGTGCAGTAGGAAAAATGCAGGAATACCTGCGTTGTGTCCTTTCTCCTTCCCACCTTGGCTCAGGTGGTAACACCTCTCTTATGGGGGCGTGCAACAAAGACACCCCTGCTTGTCGCACCATCGCTGCAGCAATTAAATAATGCCAATTATCAGTGGATGGAAGGTTATCGCAGAATCACAGAATGGCCAGGGTTGGAAGGGACCTCGTGGATCGTGAGTCTCCAACCGTCTGCCACGTGCAGGGCATTCCTCAATTCCTCAGCAAATTCGGGGTTAGGTTGGTGTGAGCATCAGGGGAAGGTGCTGCCCTTGGGTTTGCCTAATGTTGTCAATATTCATTGCGGGGGCTGCGGCGGGTTTGTGAAGGTTAGCCTCGGTTACAGCAGTTGCTCAGGCTGGAGCTTGGCTATCCATGAGAGGTATTATGTTCTGAGTGTAAAGTAAGCACGACCACTTTTGTTTCACTTCGTGTATAAGCGCGGGACAAATCTGCCGCCGCACCTTTCCGCAGCGAGCCTGGACGTGCCGGGATGAAGGGGCCTCACTAGGAGCCGTCGACCGCACAGCTGATCCCCGCGGGGCACTTGCCCTCGCTCAAAATGGCGGCCGCGGCACCACTCCGCCCCGCCAGCATCTCGCGAGATTTGCGGCGGGGCGGGAGCCGCCCGCTGCAAATGGCGGGGCGGAGGCCCGGCCGCGCGGGCGAGTTGGGGTGCGGGCGGTGCCATCATGGAGCACATCACCACGCCGAAGGTAAGCGGCCGCCGCGCTGCGATCCGCGGGCTGCGCCTCTTCCTCTCTCGGCTTCGCTCCGCTCCGTGTAGAAAGCTGGATTTTGGAGCTGGGGGCGGGTGAGGGGACAGGCCGGTGCCCGCTGCCCCGTGCGGAGGGCCGTGCTGGCGGAGCCGCAGGCCGGGCGCTGGTTGTGAGGAGCCGATGTGTGAGAGGCGATGTGTGAGGAGCGCCCTGCGTCTGTTCTGGGACTGGGCGGCGTTACTGCAAGCGCCTGTAAGTGGATCATCTGTGTACCCTGTGGTCATAAACCAGCGAACTTTCCTTCAGGGCAGATAAGGCTCTTGAGATGTGTATTTCCTTCCATTTTTTTTTCCCTTCTAACTTTTGGTTTTTGCTTTAGAAGGAAAGAGAAATTCCATAACTAACAAACAGATAGGCCAGGAAAAAAAAAAAAACAAAACCACACACACACAAGTAGATATTTTTTTAAAACAATTTTTTTTGTGTGTGTGTGTCTGTGCCCATGTCTCTTAAAACTTGTTTTGGTTAGCTTAGTGTGGTTTATGAGATGTGATGCAGTTAATGTGTAAGTGCACGTGGGCAGCAGTGCCTTCTGTGAGGGCCGAGATGCTGGCAGTCAGACTGGTGGGGCCGTTTCTTTCCCAGCAGTACTTTGATGGCACCAAACATGGGCAGCCCTGTCTGTTGTTGTCTTTGCTGTCTCGTTGTTTCCGCAGCTGGCACAACAACGAACTTTGATCGCCTTGGCTGCAGAGCGATCCTTTTCTTCATGCTGCTGCTAGATCTTGACAGTTCATTTAACCTTTTTGACTTTAAGATTATTTTCCCTGCTGTTAATGTATACCGTAAAGCTGGTTTGGTGCACGTAGTTCTTAGGTTTTTCTTGTTCCCTGAATTCTGTTTTAGCCGTGGCATGATTGTGGTTCAGCAGATGTTTAGAATTTCTTTGATCAGGGCTAAATTTACTTTATAACCCTTTGCTCTTACTGCAGGTGGAAAATGTGAAATTACTGGATCGCTATACAAATAGGAAGGCAGCAAGCGGGACTTTATACCTGACAGCTACCCATCTTATCTATGTAGATGCTTCTGCTGAAGTCAGAAAAGAAACATGGGTATGTGTGATACTTGGAGCTTGTTTAAATACAAATTTTCAAAGATTAAAGATCTCATATCCAATATGAATAGTTCCATGAATTCTGTAGTTGTAGTTCTTTGTAGTGTTTGGATACCAAATGTTTAACAGAAATTGCCCTTTTGGGAGGAAACGAACACAATGGTTGTGTGACCCAGTAGTTTCAGGAACAAAATGAACATGTCTAATGGCTTCAAGCTCAATGTACAAAGCCACCAAACTTGAATTTACAGGACTTTGAAGTGTAAAACTGGCACTGAAATTAGCAACCTTTGTTTCATTATTCCTATTTTGTAATTAATACGTTGTGTTTGTGGGTGGAAAAGAAGTAAGAAGAAGATAATTCTGCTCCTTGTAATTTGGTCTACCTGGTTCTACATATCAGTCTCTAAAAATACTTTGTCTGTGTTCTTTCAGTCTGGCTCTTTGTTATATAGCTTTTGGGTACGCAGTCTGGATATTTATTATGTTTGCTTGATAAATGTCATAAATCAATTCACTTTCTGCTGATAGTGTATTGCACAGCTTTCCAGTCTGCTTGTACAGCTTATGGCCTTGTTAGTGTTATCTGAAAGATTTTGATTATCTCCTGTTCTTCAGATTCTGCATCATCATATTGCAACTGTAGAAAAATTGCCTCTGACCACAGCTGGATGCCCACTCCTTATTCACTGCAAGAACTTCCACGTGGCTCACTTTGTTATTGGGCAGGAACGTGATTGTCATGAAGTGTATACCTCCTTGCTCAAACTTTCACAACCAGGTATTTGGGTCAGTCTGTTTCTTAAACTGTTGAAATGCAGTAAGCTCAAAGGCTCATCTGAGAGCTAGTGAAAGCTTTGCCTGTCACACTACTGATTTTATTGTAGCAGAGCAGGAGAGGAGGGTGTGAAATCAGAATGTACTCGCACTGTCAGAGGTAATCTGTGTGTGTTGGTGCAGTAGATTGCTACTCTGTGCACCAAACAATTTGCTTGTAAAGTAAGCACACTTCTTCTGCCAGTGGAAATGAGGAATCTTCTGAAGACCATTGCAGAGTTGATTGGCCAGAGTGTGGCACATGTGCCAGGTGTTATTTCAGTCCTGTTGTTGCCAGTCATTTCTGTGATTTGGCTCATGGCTGTGCATAGCTCTGCTCTTGCCATTTGAGCCAGATGTCCATAGAATTCCAGATCCCACAAAGTTGTAAATGTTATCATTGTTTCCCAGTAGCACACTTAGGTAACTCTTTAGTGTTTATTTTCTTTTGGATGTGAAACCCTATGCTTCACCTTGGTGTCCTGTCTTGGAATCAGTCTCCAAGTAGATGCAAAACATCCTCAGAAGCCTGTGGTCTATTCAGGGCTCAGCTGTTTAGTGTAAGGTTGAATTTTCAGGCTGTTTGTTCTCCTTGCCGGACAGAATTCCATTTTCTACCTGCTTCCATCTTCAGCAGCTTCTGTTTCCTTTACTGAACCAATGTTTGAAGTCCTGCTTTATTATGAAGATCGTGCTTGGTGTTGCATTTTGTAACTTTAGCAGTAGTTCAAAGGAAGAGAGTTGATAGCATCAGTCTGCTTCATGCTGGTCATCACATAGGAATTAATTAGAAGTACTGCAGTAGAAGTGTTTTATTGAGTTTGGCTTTGAGCCACCTATGGAGATTAGAGCTTCTTGTCAGTTCCCATCTTTTTCCTTGTGCCCCAGGCTGTCGAGTTTTCTTAGTTACGAAGCTCTAATTTTCTGCTGTTTCTGTCAGAATTCTGCTGTTGTGTTTAAAAGGTGTCACTGTTCTTTCAGTTTTGAAAATGAGACAGTTCTGTAGCATCTTGAAGCGTGGGAGCTGTCACTGCAGGAGATCACATCAGTCAGTTTCTGTTGTGTAGTTTGGTGTAACGTTTTGTAGCTCTTTCTTTTGTTCTATTTGATTTTTGTACTTTTGTTTTTTGTACTCATTTGGTTTAAATTTTTTGTATGTATTTTTCCTTCATATTATTTGTCAGAGCATCTGATTATTTATAGTTTGCATGTGTGTGACTGACAGGTATGGGTTACCTGGCTGTGTTATCACACACTGCCAGGTGTGCTCTCCGGAGAGCTTGCTGCCTTGGGAATCAACCAAAGGAGTTATTGGTGGGATTTGCATTTCCTGAGGAGAGTGAGGGAAATTGGAAAGGTAGAGATGGAGGGAGGAAGAAATTATCATTTGTCAGGTACAGCCTGAAGCTTCTGTTGGGCCACCAATAATACTCAGTGCATCTGTCATGCTTTCCATGCAGCTCAGAATTCACTGTTGAGCAATGAACTTGAAGGTTTGCAAGAGCTTTTTTATGAATGCTTCACAGAAAAGGTCTCTTCATAAATGTTTTTAATTCTGCATTCATTCTTAGAATATCAGTCTCTTGGAGCATGCATATTGCAGAAAATTCAGTAGGTTTTTTTTCCCCAGAAATTTTGAGGTTTTAATTGTAACAGAATACTGTAGCACATCTCCCTGCGTGTGGGGAAAGGAGTACTGGAAATTCCTGAGGATCTGCATATGAATTGTTGGCACTTGGTGTTACCCAGAGTGAAACCTTATAAACACGAGGAACATTGCATTATGGCTGAAATTTGCATGCTTATAATTCTTTCTTGATAAAGTTAGGAAAGTTTTTGATGAACTGAGAAACTCCAGATATCCACACTGTTCTGTTGTAGTACTCAGTATTTTTCTAAGGCGTCAAAACCAGTCTGAATATTTTGCTTAGATGAGTGAAATTTACAAAGTGATCTTTGGTGCAGGAACGTAAATAAAATAGCTGTTGCTGCAGTGTAGCCAACTATGGATACAGCAGTCACACAGCCCTTGGCTTTTGTGGAGGAAAAAAAGCACTTGTTTTCTGATTGCTTTCAGCTGAATAATTTTTAATCTTTGTATCAGTTGTTGTACCTCTGTACCTCAGTGGCTTGCACAGTGATGGCCGGAACAAAAACCTTTAGGAAGAGATCCTGACTTTTCTGTATTGAATTATAACTAATTAATTTTTTTCTTCTTCCTAGTGAAACCTGAAGAACTTTATGCTTTCTCCTACAATCCTAAAATGTCTAAAGATAACCGGGAGATTGGATGGAAACTGATTGATTTGAAAGTAGATTACCAGCGTATGGGAATCCCAAATGACTACTGGGAAATAACAGATCTTAATAAAGACTACGAGGTAATTCTTGTCCATAGTAGCCAGTTGGTGCAATATCTCTTTGTGTTAATGACATTCAGCAATCCTGCTGCTGCATAAATGTTGCCTCTGGGGAAAAATGAGCTCAGTTGGTTTTAATCGATGCAGCAGCTTAATGTGAAGTTGTGGATAATGATGCTAAGAAGGAACAGAGCTGCAGAGTCACCTTGGTTTGCTTTGATTCCTCTGGCAAAATATCAGCTACTTATTTTTCTAGAGAAATGTCAAACCATCTGCTACAAGAACTTGAAGTACCCTTAAGTTCTTTATGTATTTCCAGACTGTGTCCCTCCTGTGTGATGAGAGATGTTAAGAGGAGGAATACATGGGAGTGGCTTGGCTTGATGAGGATCAAGGCAGAGTGACAAGGGACTAGAGTAAGGAAGGAAAAAACAGAAACTGAAGATGCTTGTTTTTTTTTTTTTTTTTTTTTTTTTGCTTGTTTAGATCTCATGCTAAGGAAAAACTTAGTTGTTTCAGTTCTAACTTGCTTCTGCTATTTCCTTCTCTTTAAGGTCAGGTTAGGTCTAAACAACATCAAATGGAAACATTACTCAACAAGTTTACTCAAACTCCAGCTTTGTACAATTTCCCTTTCTGTTTCCTCTGGTTTTATGCACAGTCTTTCTATCTAAAATATGCTGGATATCTCTGAGTGAGGACGATACCAGTATGTTGTCCTGAATCCTTCCTCTGTGCTCTTCATTCTCTCCCCACCATTTTTTTTGTTATTGTTATGCTTTGGGTTGAAGTAGTGTATGCCCTTCTGTCAGAAATGACTGGAGTTCTAAGTGGCCATTTTTGGATGCCTGAATTGAGATGAAGTGGGAAGTGCTCTTCCCATCAAGGCATCAGAATGTGGGTATCTAAAATATTGATGGTTTTGAAGCTTTACTTGGTGTTATGTAACTTTCAATTGGCAATGCTTAGCAATTTCCTCAGTTTCCAGTGTGCATTTGAAACTTGTCAAGCCTCAAGTAAAGACTTGGAGGATGTCTCATCTTTAAAGTATCTGCTGAAAAGACTATGGCTTTTTGAGGAAAGTGGATCAGGCTGTTTTGTGAGGATGATACCTGATGGCTGCAAGCTCATTTCTAGTTGGAGATTTAAAGGGAAATCTTAAAATATAATTACTCTTATTTTTTTGTGATAAATTAGTAGCTTTCATAGAATGTATGGCTTTAAAGAACTTCCTTTCAGAACATGTGGCACACTGTGCAATTCAGTTTTGGGGCTCCACTGCAAAATTGTTTGTTACCATATTGTTTTATTATTTTTACCCATTCCCTTGTGTTGTTTTTTCCTAGATGCATTCTAATGCCTTGATGCTTCAGATATGGTTTTTGATACACTGCGGTGAACAATGTATTGTTGCTTATAAATGTGAGATCGTGTACTAAAAACGAAGTTGTCCTGTGTCTTGAATTGATAAACAGTAACATCTAAATTCTTTCTTCTCACTTCAGGTTTGCAACACGTATCCTCCAGAAATTGTGGTGCCTAGAGCTGCTAGTAAGGCAACAGTGATTGGAAGCTCAAGGTTCAGAAGCAGGGGGCGGATTCCAGTGCTTTCTTACTTATATAAAGAAAACAATGTAAGTAGTTCAAGTGTCTGCTGTCTTGGGTGGGGTGGGGCTGGAGAGCAATGGTCCCCCTTCTTGTACAGCTCCTTTCCAGTGAAGGGAAGGAATGGGATAATTATTGAAGTGCTTTAACTTCTTGTTTGTCTGTTCTTTTCCGTAAGGGCTCTAGAATTGCTTTGAGTCGCAGAATAAGCTACATACCAAAGACATAGCAGTGCAGTGTAAAAAGCACAAGCTCTTCAAGCTTCTTGTCTGGAAATTTCTTATCAGCTTTCAGGAATGTCTTTTGTGCTGTTTTTTTCTGTGTGCTTATTTTAATGTACTGTTTCAGATTGCCTGTAGCTATATTGAATAATGTTTAACAAGATGCATGTTAACTCAGCTAAATTTTCTTACTCAGGAAGAGGAAGAACTGCCCTGAAATAACTCTTCTTAACTCAGAATAAGTGAAGGTTTCAGTTTTGTTGTGTTTTTTTCCTTCACTAAAGACCACAATGTAAATTTTTAACTGTGCTGTTTCAGCAGTGTTTTAGATGCAGATGTTAGGAAAATGCTGTCACAGTCAAGTTGTTGTTTTCCTGAGGAAGCGTGCCTCGACCTGGGCGCCTGTGGGGTTGTGCTGGCAACAGCTGAACTTTTCCTGTAGCATGCCCAGCACAGTTCTGTGTGGGTAACAACTACTGAGCCAAACTGAAATGTAGCATGGTATAGTGCATGTTAATCTGACAGAGGATTTGAGAGCAGAGCAATAAGAGGCTCCTTTATTCTGTTATATATATATATATATATATATATATATATATCTGTTTCTGAAGATTCTCAAAATCCTAGTTTTGTGGAATATTCCAATGGCAATTCTGCATGTCCACCTAAGAAGCTGAATCTCATGTGAGATATAAAATCAATGATGTGATATTATTTCCTGCTCTCAGATTGTTTCTGCTGCATTGCCCTGAAGTGTGATCTGTTGTGTATTGCAGGCTGCCATATGTCGTTGTAGCCAACCCCTCTCTGGGTTCAGTGCTCGTTGTCTGGAGGATGAACAAATGTTGCAGGCAATCAGAGAAGCCAACCCTGGGAGTCCCTTCATGTACGTTGTGGACACAAGGCCAAAGGTATCTTCATGTGGTTTGTGGTTACTTCTAGAGCTTGTATCTGTGCTAGCAAGGCTGTTTCCAATTAATCATTACTACTCTGCTAAGGCTTTCTCAGGTAGCTTTCAGTTAAATTGTGCCAGTCTTAAGTGATGTATTCAGAATCAGGCTCCTTGTTCTGTCTCTTGATACAGTGAATGCTTGTGAATAACAAACTGTAACGTCAAGTGTTGTTAAGAATGCTTGTACTCCTAGAGTGCTCTAGGTTGAGATTTGTGTTAGGGATCACCTGAGATGACCAGCAGTCTTGAAGCTGGCTGAAACAGTGAGCCATTCTGAAGATGTGCTCTTAAAACATTGGGTTGGAGAGACTCCTTCGGAATCAGCTGTGCAAGACTGAAGTGCTTTTGTCTGCCTACCTGGTGGCAGAAGTGGGTCTGTATGGAATCTGAGAACAATTTTGCCTCAGTAAAAGAAAACAAAACAAAACACTAATGATCTCTCAGAGTGCAGCTTGGAATTTAATACAGTCAGCTACTTGGTTGGTAGCCACTCTCTGGAGCTAGAACTTTGTTGTGGTCTTCACATAATAGTAACCTTGAAGAAACAGACAAAATACTGTCTGTAATGATCTGAAGAACTGAATTTAGAAACAAAATCAAATGATTGGTTTGTAATCATATTGATTGGGAATATAAGCAAATTAGGACAAGGATTTGCACAGTACGTGATTAAATATAAAAATCTAACATAGATTTTGCTGTAATGAGAAACTGCTGCATGTTCAGATTTTAGAGTTACTTTAGAGAAACTACAAACACAGTTAAACTGTGGAGAGGGTCTGGAGGGAAAAGTCCTTTGGGGAAAGCACAGCGTGCTTCACCTGTTGCTTCAAGATGCATTTTGTCTTTTTATAGTATGATGTTCTATAAGAGATCTCCATTTAATTACAGAACAGTCTGTAGCATGGTTTTTCTGCATGCGCAGCTTCTAGTATCAGATGTTCCACAGGAATCTGTCCTTAATGATGGTAATTTTGATAGATTTGGTGAAAAGGAACACTTGTGATCAGCCTCCCTTCCAAAGCACCATGTCGTGCCCTGGATGGATAGAACTGAAGCACCAGAAGTACTCAGTTACTCTTAAGATGTTCAGATATCGATGTCTTTTCTTTTTTCCTTCTTTCTGTGTTAGCAAATCGTTGTGGGAGGTTGAGGTACTCTTTTCCTCGTCGCCGCTGAAGATTAGGGTAGCTCTTGAGCAATTTGGGGTGATTATTAACACAACCAGCAGCTTTTCAACTTCGTTTCTGCAGTTCCACTCAATTGCTGTATTCTTTTTGCTCGATCTTGATGTTCTGTGTTTCCCTCAGATGGCTTTATTTTGTCTGTGCATGCATGTCTATGAAAAGCTTTGGAATTCTCTAACTACTTCTATGCTACCACGTATGTATGTTATTCATGAAGTGGCATTCCTAGTTTTACTTTGTTTCCTTCTGTCTGCATCTTTTTTATGTAGCTTCACAGTGAAGACAGACAATCTCTTTACCTTCCTTGTGACAGCAGTCTTTTGCTGTTGGGTCAGGCTTTGATTTTGCCTGGCATAAGAAGTGCTAGCCAAGATCTTACTGAATCTCTGCGTGTGATTAATGGACTGGAGATGCTGACATACATCTAGTAAAATGTCTGAAAGTGATGTGTGGGGAGGTGGGGAAGCACACCTGAGTAGCAGCTTTTGTTGAGTGTGCCTTCTGGGAGATGACCAGCAAACACACAGAAAGACTTGGCAAGCAGGTTGTATTGTTTCTTGTCGTTTTCTCTCTGTTCCATCCTCTTCCTTTAAATCTGACAGTTAAATGCCATGGCCAACCGAGCTGCTGGGAAGGGTTATGAGAATGAAGACAATTATGATAACATTCGCTTTAAATTTATTGGCATTGAAAACATCCATGTGATGCGGAACAGCTTGCAGAAACTCCTGGAAGGTAAGTAGTGTGCATGCAGCTGGCCTCTCTATTGCCTCTACCTAATTTTGACCAATATATGATCTGTCCTGTGTGCACAAGTAGGTGTGGACTTGGTCTTAGTCTAAGTTACTTACTCAAAGTAACTTAGTTTGTCTGCTTTATTGAAGTGGCTGAAGATACCAGTTTTAAAATGTTTTCCTGGTAGCTATTTCATACACTGCTGTGCTTAGTTTTATAGGGAATCAAACTTAGCAGGTAACATGAACAACATTTCTGAATTTTATGTTAGTTAAAATGTGAATTTCTTAAATGTTCCAAATTAAAAGACTAGAAAAACTTACTGTACTGCTCAGGTAGTTTTATTTTAGTAGCTTAATGCAACCATGAAGCTGTCATTGGATGTTGAGATTTCTGAGATTTCTGTTGCTTAGTTTGTGCTATTTTGGTGTTAAACATTATGTCTACTTGAAAGATAAATTCTCCTGATTTTCTGAAGACTTAGAGATGAGAGCTGTGTATGAGATCAGTTTCTGATTGAGTGAGCTTGTTGGTGTAATTCTGGAAGTTGCACTGAAGTTGATGAGAGCACCTTGGATCAAACAGGCATACTCTGCTAGTTTGTTTCCAGCTTTGTTAACTTCTTTGTGTTGACAAAGATGAAAACCACATCAGAGTAGGTGCTGTAAATCCTTCTCTGGTCCATGTGTTTAGTTTTAATTATAGTACAAATGCTGTCATTCAAAATACAAGTTTAAGGTTTTAGTAGTCAGCATAATGGCCATCTAGCCTCAAGTAGCTGAATAATTGATGCTGCCAATTGCCTGGCCAGGTAGCTCTGCAGGGTCTGTAGTGGCCTTGGAGAAAAATGGGGTTATTCACACAACAATTGGATTGGCTTTAACGCAAATGTAAGTCCTCAGTTGCCTATGGCTGGCAGATTTATTCTGTGCTGGTGGAGGAGGAACCTCGAAGGTTATATGTTACAAGTTAGAGCTCTCCTTTCTTTGAACCTCTGAAAGTGTCACCGTGCAGGTGGTTGTTAGGTGTCTGTGTGAGGGTCATTGGTGTGGAGTGCCACTGAATGCTAGATCTTAACAGAGGGAGCTCAGCTGAAAAAATAAAACTGACTTAGTTCTAGAAGGAGGAGGAGGAAGATACTTTTATATCTCAAGTTCTCTTGTAGCTAAAAAAAACTGCTGGATTGTGTCTAGATATGCAACCATTCGTTTTCCTTAGGCAGACACTTAGATCAGAGTATGAGCTTTTAGAATCTACCAAACTCTGCTGCTGCGAAAAGGTGATGATGGGGAAAGAAAAGAATGTTAGTAGAGTCTCAGCTAATTATTTTGTTTGTGTTCTTAGTGTGTGAAACAAAGTCTCCATCAATGAGTGATTTCCTTACTGGGCTGGAGAACTCAGGTTGGTTACGGCACATAAAGGCTGTAATGGATGCAAGCGTCTTTCTCGCAAAGGTAAATTTATATACTGAGCTTCAGCTGAAAAACCTGTGCTTGGAGCACATCAAGTCAATAGCCCAGTTCTCTTTCTCCTAGTTCCTTCATGGGACTAGAGGAAATACCACTGGAATTGAGAGAGCCATTTGTTCTAATGCAATCAGTAGGACTATCTGGGCTTTTTGGCAACCCTGCCCACAGCAGGGGGGTTGAAACTAGATGATCTTCGAGGTCCTTTTCAACCCAGGCCATTCTATGATTCTCTGACATCCTTAAAACTCACTGAAATGAGTGGAATGTGGGTAAATGACACTTGCAAAAGCCTCTGTACCCTATAGCATGTTTAGGAGTACAAGCAGTTTGTAACCTTATGTTCTTAATGCAGCATGCTCACTAATTGTTGGACTGTTGTGCTTTAATTGGGGGATTCTCTAGACCATCCTGCTTTCTGCTGAGATGCAGGAATCACAGATTTGTATTTTTCAATTGAGTCCTCATTTCTGCAGATGTTTGAAGAGCGTGGCTTTGCAGGTCAGTCAAGAGAGAAGAGTCCATAAAGCACGTTGTTCTCAGCAACAGTGAAGGGAATGCAGATGACAAACTGTAGTAGTAGTCACTTCTGTAAATGTTGTCTTTTCTCTTAAAACTTTTCCGTGTAGTGAGCAAAAAGCTATTTTCTGCCAGCAATACAGAAATGGAAAGAAGGTGATGCTTATGAGAGCTCTTCTGTTTTTGTTTTTTCTTGAAGCTTCTAGTTATTCTTTACTCATCTACCAAATCCTCCCTCGGAGGAAAGGACTGAAAATTCATGGCATTTCAGAAGATGAAGTGTTTTCAGATCAGAGGATTTTTGTTTCTTGATGATCTGTGTTGCTGACAAGGCATGCTACAGCATTTCATTCTAGTTGGGGCTGATGGCTGCATGCCCAGAAATGGTGTTTTTCTATGGTTCAGATTAGAAATGACAAATTTTTCCCTTAGGTTTGAGAACAATCCGGTAAATGCAGATGAAGGGATAGCATTTAATTACAGTAACCAAACCAGAAAGCTGCTAAACTGTTCTGTCTGCTCTTCTTCACAGGCTGTGAAAGATGAAAAGGCCAGCGTGTTGGTGCACTGCTCTGATGGGTGGGACCGCACAGCACAGGTCTGCTCCCTGGCTGGCCTCCTCCTAGATCCATTTTATAGGACTTTTAAAGGCTTCATGGTAAGAACATAGGTGTTGGAATTCCAAAAATAAAAAATGCTCCTTGGATTTGAAAAGTAAACAAGGCCTAATTTAAGTCTCAGGCCATTTCCTGGAACAAACAGTAGGTGACCTATATAAAAACAGCTTTGATTCTTTCAACAAGCTTTAATTGCTCTGAACACTATAGGCACAGAACTGTGGTAGCTGATTTGCAATTCCCAAATCTTTGTTTGTTTCCTTGAAAGTCCACGAGAGCCTTTATTGAGGCATTGCAGCAAGATATGAGTGAGTAAAGGGAGCAACTGGCAGCAGTCCACAGAAAAAGTGGTGAAGAAGTTGGTCATTTAAGGCTGTTACAGTGAGGATTTCTTCTAGGATTTTGAACTCTGAAGTACACAGGGAAATACATAACCTGTATATCATATCAGGTCTGAGTATTGTTCAAGATTTATTTTAAAGCCATAACACAAGAATTTGGCCTTTGCTTCTGCAGTAAGGTACTTCTTATATGAAGCCATCACTACATAAATACAGACAGATCTGTGATCTTTCCAGTCGTCTCGTTTTGTTAATCACCCCAAAGACAACTTGCTGCTCTTTCTCAGAGTTCCGTAAAAGAAACCTTGAGATCAGAACAATGCAGATTTTGCCTCCCTTGCTGCATTGCACTGCTAGCCTGCTCCTTTCATTACATGCTGTTTTTTAATTATTACTTTTTGCTTCTGGGTTACACTGCAGCCTTTAAACAATTAAAATTATACCAGTACAACGCATACGTGGGCTTCCGTAGTGCTCTGGACAATTCTGTGTGATGAACATAGCTTTGATTAGGATCAGGAGCTGTAACTGAAAGGGACAAATCCTTGTCCTCTGCCAAAATAGTTTGTATGCGTGGATCCTAAGGCAGCAGTTATTCCTAGATGAATGCAACAGAACTGTCAAGAAAGCAAAAAGTTTGGAAAAAAATCAGTGTAACTTAATTTTGAAAGAGATCTCTTGTGAGTTCCTGCCTTTCTTTTCTTTAGGTCTCTGGCTGATGATATCAGGATGTATGATGTAGCAAGACACACAGTACTGGATTACTAATAGTGGATAGATTACAGTGCAGTGGATAAACAATGTGTAAATTGCTGTTAAAGTTTTCATTGACTTCTGTGGTTGTGCTTGAAATAGTACTGTCAGGTAGCATTGGTTTTGAGCTGTATGGAATTACCATCAAAGGCTTGTAAATAAGTAATACTTCTATTTTTCCCCCAACCTCTGCTTTGAAAATGAAGGTTCTTATAGAAAAGGAGTGGATTGCAATGGGCCATAAGTTTTCACACAGGTAAGAACATGTTACCTTGGGTGTAATGGCTGGGGTGAAGGCTAGATGGTGAGACTTAATCAGTGGTGTCAGACATGTGTGCTCCCTCTAAAAATAGGGAGGAAAAAAACTTGGATACCACTGGAGTTGGTGACCTACAGCCAATGAAATGACTGGGGTTGTTTCTCCAGTGCTACTTGAGAGTGGTCTTTTTTCGTTACTTTGAAATAGAAGGTTTTGAATAAGCTGTTTGAATTTTGAACATTTTCCTACCTGTAAAAAAGCATCCATGTTACGTGACAAGTGCTGATGTTCTGGCAGGGATGCTCTTCTGCATTTTCTGGAAGAAAATTGAGTCTACTGTTTTTTTTTGGGGGGGGACTTCGCCAATGTGTAGTACAGAAACTTCATCTCATTACAGTGCTAAAAATCAATTGTGACTCGCATTCTCTAGGCAGATTAAGTGTTGTCATTCCTGTAATTGTTAGCTGCCTTCTAGAAGGAACGTTGCCTTGGGGTGCTGATTGTTCTGTAGAAATGGAAGATCCAAAGGAATGCTGGGAGTGGATCTGCATAGTGATACTAACTTACTAAGAATGGAGACTTTGTTTTCAAGGTGGAACTGAATCCTCCATTTGGTAGCATGACCAATCTGTTCCCTTAATAAGGAGAAATGAGCAATGTGTGCACCCTTAATTCTACTTCTTTAGAAGAAGCTATTTCAAGATATACAGCTACTTGGGCCTTGTTTATTTCCCTTGGTTTCCAGATTATATCCCCCAGCTTTTCCTGTGAAGAAGGAACAGGCAGTGTAATACAGCAGGGGCTTGGTTTCCTTCCAAAAGTACTGTGGTGGTGGTTTTTTTTTTTTTCCTGGTTGTATTTTTCTTTTCTGATAGTTTATGAAAATGCTGGCCACGTATTGAGTGGTTTGGGAATGTTATTGCCTTGGTGAGCTGAGGTTCAGTTGTTTCTGTGGTCCAGAGGGTGCTGTGCTGTCTGTGTGTGTCTGTGGTATCCTGTTAGTACGTGGGTTAGCACTAAAGCAAGGCAGGCAGGCTGCTCAGAGTCACTACCTTTTGATATCAGTCTTTTCCTCTGCTGTTATGGACTCTCCAGTCTCTGGATTCTGTGTTGGTGAAAGGACTGGGGAGTTGCTAGGGTTTTATTTATCACTGTGCACAAAACGCAGGTCTGGAAGCACTGTGAGATTTTGCTGTTGATCAGAACCCTTTTGTATTGCAAAGGCGAAGTTGTAAGAGCTTAATCCCACGAGGGTGGCACACCTTAATGGGCACTTGTAGGATAAACTGTGTTATTTTTGGCTGTGCAATAACATTTTCGTGCTCTTCACTACCGGAATATTTCTCAGTTGTTTAGTGGCCAAGCTGCCCTTTTTTGGGGGGGGAGGTGACAGAGGATTTAACCCTGTTTGCATCTATCTAGGTGTGGCCATTTGGATGGTGACCCAAAGGAAGTATCCCCTGTCTTCACTCAGTTCATTGAATGTGTCTGGCAGCTCATGCAGCAGTTCCCTTGTGCATTTGAGTTTAATGAACATTTTCTTCTGGAAATCCATGATCATGTCTATTCCTGCCAGTTTGGAAACTTCCTTGGGACCTGCCATAAGGAGCGTGAAGATCTGAAGTGAGTTGGCATTTTATGAAGCCACCAGTCTAAAAGTCACTTCAAATGTCAGAAAAAGGGCACGTTGTGTGCTTGTTTTTATTGTAATTGTAAATCTGTAAAGGGTAACAGATAACTTTGTCTACAGATAACTTCATTGTGAGAAAGAATTGTAGATGAATTACCTCTGCCGTGGTCAGATGTTTTATCTGAAGTGCAATAATAACCTGCAGACACAGCTTTAGGACTGGATACTGTCCATTTAAAATGATTGTATGTGCTTCTCAGTGATGTATTTTGTGTTTAAGACATTAATCAGTTACTATGGAAAAGTAGTTCTTAACTTCCTCAGTCCAATTCTGCTCAGGACAGTCAATGTAATTAGTTTACTTAACTTGATCTAATAACTAAAAAAAAATATCTTATTTCTAATTGACAGAATCTTTGAGAAGACCCATTCTCTGTGGCCTTTCCTCCTACAGAAGAAGCAGGAATTGAGAAATCCTTTGTACAGAGGATTTACAGCTTACAAAGAGCTTCAACCCAACACACTACCGTTCAGTTTTCAGTAAGTTGCTTGTGGTGTGTGGTGTGTTTCATGGTAACAGAAATTGGTAATTCAAGTGTACTAAAATACTTTGTCACTGCTTAGAGCAGCTTGTTTCTTTTCACTCTATTCCTCATCCCCAAAGTGGGAGTAGTGGTATATAGGCAATTTTTCTGAATAAATGCAGGTACAGTAATGTAATTTCTTCAGTGTTAATAAAGGTGGTGAGGAAAGGAAAGATGATGAATTTCAGATCTGTAGATTAATCTGTGCACCCATTCCCACTTCTAACTCCTTGCTCTGACAAGTTTACTCGAGAGGGTAAATGTTAAAGTTTCTCCTTTCCTCCTTTTTAACATCTATTAAGGAATATTAATTTCAGTGTCCAGTCACACCCAGACTTATGCAGTGAAGATGGCTTTCACAAAAACAAGGGATTTCTTGTTGCAGTGTGTATTTGCCTCCCTGGGTCCTTCAGCTGGATTGGGTAATTTTGCTTTGTTTTTGGCTGCTTCTGTTCCCTGCTGAGAGAGGGATGCAAATGTGGAAGAGAGGATTTTCACGGAAGTAGGGAAGTAGGACAAACTAAAGACTTGAAGGTGAACTGCTCTTGAGTGAGTCCACTGCAGAATAAAGTGTATTTGTGTCGTATTTCAGTGCCTACTGCCAGCTCATTTGTATCATAGGGAAGAAGCACTTAACCCTTCAGAGGTTTTTCTTGAACTTTGTTAAAGCTTTAAGAAAATCTTGTGTTGAATTTTGGAGTCAAAGACTGTGGCTTTTGTTTAAAATCAATTACTGATCTGTTTGTTGACCACTTTCCTCCTTAAGCACCTTGCTTTTATTGTTATGACCAGGAGTGTGAAACTCGCTGCCTAATTCTCCTTTCTTGCCACATTCTTAAGGTTTTGGTGTGGGATGTACAATCGCTTTGACAAAGGAATGCATCCAAAGCAGTGTGTATTGGACCATCTACTGAGCTGCATGAACCAAAAGATAAAACTAGAGGACAATGCATCTGAATTGGAGAATGTGAGTCCCGAATGTCAATAGTACTTCTGTCATGGGATGGCTTTGGCAAGTATAATTGGGATTAAACATTGACATTAAAAAAAAAAAATTGCTTCAACATTCTGTGCAGAGCAGGATAAAATGAGAAGTTAAGTTTTATGTTACTGTAATAAACAGCTTCTTGAACCCTCATTTGCCTAAAGTTGGTTGGGCGAGTGATGGCACAAGCTCCATGATGTTCTAATTCATAGAATCATATAATGGCTTGGCTTGAAAAGGACCTCAAGGATCGTTGAGTTACAACCCTGTACTGCAGTGTTGCTACCTACTAGATCAAAATGAGGCCTAGGGCCTCATCCAGCCTGGCTTTAAGCACCTTCAGGGACAGGGCTTCCAGAGCCTCTCTGGGCAACCTGTTGAAGCACTTCACTACTCTCTCATTTAAAAAACAAACAAAACAAAACAAAAAAAAAAACCTAACAAATTCCTCTGATAGCTAATCTAAATCTTCTTTTAGTTTTAAACCTTTTCCCTTTGTCCTGTCGCTATCTACTTGTTCAAAAAGTTGATTTCCCCCATGTCTATAAACACCCTTTAAATACTGGAAGACTGCTATGAGGTCTCCCCTCAGCCTTTTCTTTTGCAGGGCAAACAAGCCCAGTTCCTTCAGCCTATCTTCATAGAAGTGCTCCAACCCTTGGATCATATCTGTTGTTCTCTGGACCCTCTCCAGGAGCTTCACATCTTAACTGTGTTGAGGGCCCCAGACCAGGATCCATCTGGGGCTCACAAGGGCGGAGTAGAAGGCGACAGTCACCTCTGTCACCTTACTGCCACCCCTGCTCTGATGGAACACTGGATACTGTGGGACTTCTGGGCTGGAAGTGCACTTTGCTGGCTCCTGTTAAGTTTTTCATCAACCAGGGCCCATAAGTCCTCAGCAGGGCTGAGAAGTTCTTTAATTTTCTAATCAAATTTTCTAAACAAAACAGGTATTAAAATAAATCTGAGTTTCAACTTAATATGCAGCGAACTTCAGGGAGTTGATGGGGAGAAAAAGAATGGACTCCTATTTCCCCATCACCACCCGTGAAAAAATAAAAATATTTACAGCTTATCCTCACAGTTTTTCTTTGTCTTTTAATTTACAAGATGCTGGAAAAAGTTTTCAGCCGCTTACCAGAACAGTGGAATTGAAGCGAAAGTTGGCTTTCATGTAATGGCTGAAATGTAACTGGGTCATAGGCTAAATAAGCCACTTCCAGAAGACATCTTGGAGGTGAAGTGCTCTGTTAATGCAGGCAGGAGATGCTTGTGCGTTTCCCACTTCTGTGGTGATGCTGGAGGGCACAAATGGTGTCCAGAGTAACCAGCTTGTCTCCTTTAAACCACAAAATGAAGTACACAGCAATGCACTGCACAGGAGCTCAGTCAGCACTGATCAGGCTCCCTAGAGATCTGTCTTTATACAAAGATAAAGATAACTGTCATGTCACAGCAAGAGGGAAGGTGAGGGGAGGGGGAGCAAAAAGTGTCAATACTGTTAACTTTTAAAGTGCTATGGATTGTTTTTCTCCATAGTGCCTATGAACAGTTGCTTAAAAGAGAAGTAGATATTTATGTTTAACTCTACTTGCAATATTCTTTCTGTTGCTTACTAATAAAAAATACAGTAGTGAGATAGTCATCTAAAAATGTCAGTGAGAAGACCTCTTAATGTCCTGTGCTTGCTTTATGTGAAGGCTTAAACCTGTAGTTTTACTAGTTAGTTAATTGAACAAATTTCTAATGTTTGTACGTAAAAACCCAAAATGATCTAGGTAGGTACTTGCACGTGTTACTTTAATTCCCAATTAGGGAGCTGAAAAAGAGGCACTGGCATGGAGCTGTGTTTGTTGTGTACCCCTGACATCTGGGAATTCATTATTTCATTATTTTTTTTTATGATGTATTTCTATTTTTGTAGAAACTTCCTTTCCTCGATGGCCCGTTACCCAGGGAAGCTTGCTTCTTGTCTAAAGGAGGATGTGCTGCTTCAAAAACGTCCGTGCTGAACACTCCCCAGGATTATGAAGGGGAACCACCTCCTGTGCTGACCAACGGTATCTCAGTTGGAGACACAGATGTGACGTCAGACGTGGACCAGAAAAACAAGGAGAACCTGGCTAATCACCTAGACCTCCATCTTAATGACAGTGTTGATGTTTTAAGCTCTGAAGCTAAGGATGGCAAGCCTCAGCACCACTGATCAGCTTTGAGCATTGTGCTCAGTGAAGCAGGTGCTTGTGAGACATGGAGGATCTGTGACCCTGCCTGGGTGCAGAGCACCTGGCCAGCCTGCTAAGTGTTACTGTGTTTGTTTGCAGGGTGCTGTGCTCTCGCTGTAACGAGTGCAGTCCGTGTTTGGTTTGCATCATTTTGGGGCTAAAATGATGAAGATGCATACAGAGCTGCTGAGAAGGCTATCCTGAGTTACAGTATGAACCTTATTTTTAAGTGGAGGTATGATGTTTGTTTTAAGGCTTAGAATTGTCTGGCAGTACTGCTATTTTAAGCCATGATGGCCAATTAACATGAGGTTTAAGAGTTGATGCAGTATTCATGATGGGAATAGGAGATACAATGCATTTATTCTCAGTGGTGGTGCAGGGTTATAAATATATATTCAGTTCATCTAAAAGTGAAAAGAAAAAAAAACCTTGGCTGCAAATGAATCTCTGCATGGACCTTCACCTTATGGAAGAACTGATTCATTTTTTTTGTTTCCTATGCACACTTGTTAAACAAAAAACTGTGCCTTTTTACGGAGACCATTTTTATATCTAGCTGTGCAATGTAGTGGTGTTATTTTAGTGTGGAGTGTACTATTTGTAGTCAGTATTTTTAAACAAAGTTTTATATCTGCTGCCACATTTCCCCTGGATCTGTGCTGGTCCCAAGTTGAGCAGCTTCTTTCTAAGCTGACCTTTGAAAGAGTGAGCTTTTATGGACCTCGTTTACTTTTCTGTGGGAGTGTAGCAAGCCCCAGAGCCTGTAGCACGTGAATTTTTGACAGATCAGGAATGAGGAAATGTATGAGAAATGCTGAAGTTCATGTGGAGTCTTCCTCTTCTCTTAATTGGTGTTGGTTAAACTCCAGTGAGTAACTCATTCTTTTTGGGGTTGTTTGCTTTCTTCAGATCCTTCAATGAGGCAACTATACATGAGGTGTATTCTGTTGTAGAAATGAGGTGTAAAGTGATCGCTTCTGATCACCTGTTGAGCGATGATAGTGAGCGTTAAAATTATGTGGTACTTAGGTGTGACTAATCTGCATTGTCAAGGCCTGAGGGAAGGAACAGTTTCAGAGCATTGAACTTTGTAATTTTGTGGAGCTGGTGACAACACATAAATTTATAGATTAGGATGTCACCCACTGTTGGATCAAGAAGTGAACATCTTGACTCATTATTGCGGCTCCATATTGGACTCAGTTCAGTGCTTGTGCTACTTGGTTCCTTTAATCTGCAGTGGAGATGCTGGTTGAAGTCAAAGGTTTAAAGGAGAAATATATTCCATTTGTTCAATTCCAAAAGTTCATCTCCCTGGGGAAATGGATAGCCCAGAAAAGCTATTCCACAGTGCTTGTTCTGGACAGATTTAACCTATGGATGTGTTTAAATTGCAGAAACACTCCCCTTGATGCAGCTTAATTCAGTATGCTTTTTTACTCTCCTTTGGACTATGTTGTTCAAATCAGATGTTGCCATCAGGTGTTTAAATCAGAATCTGTATGATAAAACTTAAAAATATTTTGTTTCAAAATCAAACCTCCCAATCTACACTGAAAAGTAGAAACATCCAGTTACTCCATAACAGCATTGTCATTACCATTGTTGGTGTGCATACAACTTATGGTGAGGTGACTGGATAAGTTCCAGTGTTCAGGATGAGCACTTTCAAGAAGAGAAGGAAAAAAAAGAAGAAAAAAATCCTCCTGTGTGGGAGGATTTCTTATCCCTTTGGGTAAGAAAATGCTTTATTAAGCATACCCAGAGACTCAAGTAACAAGGGTAATACTAGAGGAAAGCTTCTTTAGTGTCTACAGTGGCAAGGAAAAACTTTTTTCTACTTTTTCTAGTGTTACAGGTTTTTAAACCTTAAAACAAGTAATGTTTAAGTCTGTTTTAAAAAGCAGCTGTTTTTAAGGTTTATAAATGTATGCTTGATTTAAAAGCTAAGTACATTAAGTACTGAACCTAGCTACACTTGAGCAAATGTACCCACGACATATTTTGAGCATCACAGCTACGTACTGTGTCATGCGAGCAGCTATGTTTATTTTGAGGGATGCTCGTTTCCAAATGCATCTTCTTTTAATCTCAAGGTTATCTGTTGTTTTGTCTCTGGGCTGTTAAAAAGATCTTATTAACATTAATCTAATCGTGCTCAGCATTAAGCTAGATAGTCTGCCAGCCCTTGTTCTCAATATCCACCTATTCATCAAGCAGAGAGATTACACCCATGTCTTACTCTGGCTGCTCTAAATGCACAGGATTTAAAGTTCTGCCATAGACTTTCACTGGAAAGTAAGTTTTGTCTCTTCATAGTCTAAAGGCTCATTTCACATGTGTGCTCAGCAGTTTGGAGCTCTGTTCAAACAAGCCAGTAGATTCGCTCCTTTTTGTAGGTAGTAGAAGAGTAGTGAATGGCTTGCATAGCTTCTGAAATAGATAACTCACAAATGGTAAACGAGACCAAGGAAGGCAGTTCTTAGCACCAGTTATTCCAAATGTCAACAGGTTCTGTGCTTTTTGTAATGAAAACGGGATCATTGTAGGCAAACTTTGACTACTGAGGAGTTCAGATATGCCACTCGGTAATCTTTAGATAAATACAAACATTTTGCAGGTTTCTATGTTTACACGCTGCCTTGTCTTTTGAATTAACCTAGATTGTCTTTTTTCCCCAAGCATAATGTTTGCTTATCCCTAAAACAGGACACCGGCGTCTCCACAGATCTTTCTGAAAGATGATATTTAGGAGCATACAACCCTGAAAAGATTACTTGATGCACTGAAAGTACGTCGGAGCTGTTAGCAATCAATGCTCGGCTCTGTACTTGGAAATGCAGAGCCTAGCTGAAGGGAGGGTAATGAGCTGTGGTCTCACAGAGTTGGCATTAATGTATGTGAACTTGACCAAAGTCTACAACGTACTAAAAATCATTCATGCTGGTGCTGTAAATTAAGGGAGTTGAAATATATTTTCAGGAATTCATAAGATTATTTGTTTGAAAACTCATTAGCTTAGCTACGAGGGGTGTTTTTTGTTGTTGTTTTGACGATGACTTTGTTTTAAGACCAAAAATTGAACAGCTGTTCAAAGCACTGCAGTGTCCTCAGGTCTCTGGCCAACTGGGGTTGGCTTTCTGGAGTCTTGCGTGCAGCCTGTGTTCTGGATCCTGGTGCCCTGCTGGCAGTAGTGAGGGACTTCAGTACATGTTCCCTGGAAGTGTTAAGGGAAATTTAAAAGCTCTTAGATAGGAATCTCCTTGTTTGAGCACTGTATAGGTGAGAAGTTCCTGTAACTTATTTATTCCTAGTGGATCATCTATCTGCGTGTTGCAAAGTCGATGAGTACTTCTTTATGGGGAGCTGTTAACTGAACAGTGGAACTTGCTGCTTTCCATTCGGATTCCTTTGCCAGGGATGAAGGAGGGATCTTTTTTGCTGTGGGGCTTATGCAGAACTTTCCCTTTTCTGGAGCGCTTCTTGCTTTGAGATTCTCTGTGGTATCATGGTTAAATTCTTATATGTAGTCTCCAAGCCCTAGCAAGAGGGATTGCTGGCAGCTAAAGGTGTGCAGAGATCTGTGGGGTCACTGCCTTGAATTGGGCCTCGGGCTGCAGGTTGAAATGACCAAGTTGGTGAAGGACCCAGTGTCTGTTGTTTCCATTGCGTTTAGGGATCACGGTCTGTGTTTGCAGAGTACCCTCGCAACTGGCAAGCCTGTAATGTGAGGGGAAGTATTCATAAGCTCTTCTGCCAGGTGCTGCTTTGTATCCTTTCCTGGTAAAGCTGGCATTTGGTAACTCCAGTGCTTACTCCCCAGAGAAGCAGTTTCTTGGCGCTACTTTGTAATGATGATTAGTGAGCGACCAAAAAAATTGACTGTTGTTTCTCTTCTCCCCTTCACCACCACTTTGCATTGAAAGCTGGAATCTTTTTTTTTTGTGTGTGTGTGTTTATTATTAGAAGCTGGGGCAATTTCTTGCTTACATGCTGTCCCTCTTGAGTGTGTAAGCATTTCCCAGGTCTGAAATCCAGGCTGGGAGGAGATGGTCTGTTCTGAATGTAATAGTTTTGTTTTCATTAACAAGCAGCAGGTCCTGTTAAAGTGCATGTTCTTCTAAGTGTCTTCAGCACCAAAAGCAGCCAGGTTGGTGCCAGTTGCAGTCTGTAATTTGTTAGTGTAAGTATTTAAACATGCAGTGTGGTGTCCTTTTGGCATCTCCTGGACTACAGAAGCAATGCGGAAGGAGGGTAGGCTAAAATGGTTGACCTAATTTCTTCTCATAATGTTGACCTGTGTGTATATGCCTTTGTATTTAATGTAGCAGCATACTACTGGAGTAACTTGTAGCACTGGATCTGATCATATGTATTGGAGCACACATATGTACTTTTCATCACAAAGTGATCTTTGTAGGAACTTGCCTAAGCTTGTGTATAGTACTCAGCTAAAAATGTTAAATGTTTTTGCTGTTTCTGTGAGTTGCTATTTTGTCCTACTGTAACTGTTGAGGGACAGTTGTATAAAATTGTGTGTAATTAAATCCCATATTCTTGAATGTGCTGCAGTGGCTGTGCACATGAAAGTCATTTTAGTTAATGCACTGCTTAAAAACATTGTACCGTATTAAGAGGAGCACTGTGTCCTTTCTCTGAATGTATTTGTCTCAGAGTTACGTTTGTATTACAGTTTATTTTTATTTCTTAAAAAGAAAATATCAATACCTTGCCTTTTTAAAGGTGGTGATTGGTCTGTTTGTTAATTAAATTCAACACAGAACTTTATATCTTGAAATGTAAATTCATCTAAAGGCTCTTAAGTAGCGAGTTGATCTCAATGAGTGTGATTTCCCTTTTTTTCAGAGTAGAAAGTAGGTGACATCCCTGGTTTTAGGAGGGCCTGTTGGATGCAGCACTGCTTGGTGCCTGTGCTTTTTTTTTTAACAATGATTCTAATGAAGAGATGTTGAATCTCCATGTATTTCTCTACATTTTGTTGTGCTTAGATCTCTTTTTCTATTAAAAACTAATATTCTTTCCAGGCTTCTTTTCCTGGCAGACTATCCCTCGCTCATGGGTAGGGCTGTAAATACTTTGATTCTGCGTGGCGGAGCAGAGCAGGCTGTTCTGGTACTTCTGAAAGATGTGTTTGGAGACTTGTGCTGTGTGAGAGGTGCATAGAGGGGTTGGGGATCACACCAAGTCACAGGGCTGTGCCTTGCTGACCTTCTGTGTGCTTCTGCAGCAGAGATGGAGGAACCGGGTCAGTTTAGCACCGAAACACTCAGGCTTATGTAATAATAGCTGCCTGCTCTTCGTCCCAGTCGGCAGGAGGGCTGTAAGCCCCCCAGCACCAGGAATGGGCCCAAAACCAACACCTGTTACCCAGCTGGTCAGAGCTTTCCACTGCATGGTGCATCCTAGAAGTGGATATTTATTTTCTGTGAATTAATGCCAAAAATATGCCTGACAGTTGGTTGTGTTCATTCTTCAGATGTTTGCTTTAAATTTTTGCTAATGTTAGATATTTCTAATGCTGTCAGTGAAATCTTAATTAAATGCTAGAGAAATCTAATTGGATTAGCATGGAGTGGATATAGTATGAATGAAAGAGATAAAGATGTAATTTGCATTTTTGGGGAACTTACTGTCTGTGAGCGCCTTTGGTGAGGAGGATTTAAAACTTCCCTGCTTAAGCTTTAACTTAAGCTTTGAGGGGGTGGATTCCAAGTAGAGTCATGGTAGCAGTTTTGCTAAAGGCTTGTGGTTTTAAGAGCTCTAGGTTTTAATACACTGGGGATACCTTTCACGGAATGAAAATACCGATCAGTAAACTTAACTGGAGCTCTGTCGTGAAGACAAGTGTGCTATTAAGACAGAAAAAACATTTAGCATGCTGTCTTGGTGAGGCTCAGGTTCATACGTACCGAAGATCTTAGTGCTTGATTCATTTCAGTTCTGCACTGGAGCAGTAGTGCTCTGTTTCTTTGATAGCAATTTAACTTTGTACCCTTTTCCCTCCGTTTCAGTTGCCTTGCAATTAATGATGCTGGCAGTAACTTGCTGGTGTTAAAGCTTCATGCATATGTGTGGAAGGACAACCTCATAACAAAGTATAGTAACAGGACTGAATATTCACCTTAGTTATTCACCAGTGATGGGAAATGCATGCAATGCCTTGTGTGGGTCTGCACGGGTCAGTTAATGTGGAGCTCCTGGAAATAGCAAGTTCATCTCTCTGAAGTGAAGTTCTGTTCTAAATGTTTCTTTAATGATAAGTGGAAGGCGTATTGATGACAATTTCTATCATGTACAATCTTTCAGTTTGAGTGTTCTCCTTTAATTAGTGTTTTCTTTCACTTGGGGATGAAGGAGGAGATGTGAGGGGACAAAAACAAAGCAGCCTTAGGAATAATAAATAAGAAAATAAGTAAGAGTAAGTTACATCAGAGCCATATGTCTCATGTCTTTATTGCAGTGGCTTTGGAGAACAGTGGATGCTCTTTACTAAACGTGCCCCTTTCCTCCCCCAAGAACAAAACAGATCTGGGAGCTTTGCTCAGCCGTGGGAGAGAGGAGCAAGAAATACAGTGTGAGTAGGAATTGATCTTAAAAATGATTATAAATAGCACTAATTTGGGAAGGGGGAAAGTCAGCTATGTATATCCAAAGCTAGCAGGTGCTGCTCTTGTCTCAGTCATCCTCACTGGTGAGGTACTTACAGCAGCTGAACAGACAAGACACTGAGCTTACCTGACACAGGCAAGAAACAGGGAGTGCGTATGTTCCTTTCATACAACACTTCAGAACTTCACACTTCCTCTTGCTGTTTGTGGGGTTTGTTTTTGATTGGTTTTGTTTTTAAAAGCTGTTGGCAGTAAACATGGCAGTTCCTGCTGATCAGAGAAGTGGTGCACAAGTGAGAGGTGGCTGCTGCATCTTATCTGCTTTTTCTGAGCAAACACAAAAATCTGCAGTTCTATTGAGCATGTGATTTGCCATCTCAGGGCCAAGGTGGGTTTGGGGATGGCTCAGTTTTTGGTTTTACTTTGTCCCAAGGCTTTGGAATTAAACCCAGTGTATTTTAGTACTGCAAAATAGAAACAGATGCCTCCTGCTTCTCCCACAGATAACTTCTAAGCATTACCAGCCTGAAGCACGTTGAGTGGAGAATTCTGAGAGGAGCAGATTTATGGTGTTACATAGATTAATTTGCTTAAGAGTGGGTACGTGCTGAATTTGGGTTCTGTATTTCAGGTCTTTAAGGTTCATATTCTGGCATCAGTTAATAGGTGCTGGTTTCAGTGGATTGAAAAAGAACAGGGTGCCTGGAAGGGAAAAAAGCATGGGGAGGAAGGGAACGCAGGGAGCAGCTGTCAGTGCCACCGTGCTTCTGTGGCTCGAGTTCTTTAGGATTTATAGCTCATGGAGGAAGAATCACGAGTTTCATGGCTCCTCCTTCGGTTCAGTGAGTTCATCTGAGCTCACGATGACTGTAAGCACACAGTGTATGTGCGTGCATCCTTTAGACTGTAAATGCCGAATCTCACCCGGCAGTTGTCGCCGTGCGGGTAGGAGCAGCATGGGATGTGTGCAGGTGTTCGTGCCCCCTCGTGGCTAAAATCTGAATCTCAGTGCTGCTGGGGATTGTCACCAGAGCCACTTCTAAGGGAGTGACCGCAGAGCAGACAGCTGCAAGTGCCAGGAAGCTGCAAGCAGGTATTTTATGGGCACAGGAGTAAACCCCAAGTTTGAATTGGCTCTTGTGTTCTGTTCTGCAGTCATTTACAGTGCAAGAGAGGAGTCAGAAATATCCCCACACAGCAAATGCTCGCTTCAGACCTCGAGAACTGCTATTAATCCCTAATCCCTGTGAAGTTATTTATTTGGTACGATTGAGTGCTGAAATTTCAAATCTGGTTGCTTTGCAGTGTTAAGTCAGAAAGCTCATTAACTTTGTTCAGCTGTGTTAATAACTAATCTTTCTGAGAGCAACTTCATGGAGCAGGATTGATCTTCCAAACAACCTCCTTGACTGACATTAAATGTACACCTGTCCTTTAATTCTTTCCCAATTAATGGACAGCTGACAAAGGAATGTCTTTTCCTGGAGCGTGTGGCAGGTGACACAGCCTGGGGGCAGCCCAGATAGGAGAGTCCTTCATGACCTGCCTTCTCAGCCTTCCCCAGAGTTGGAAGTGCTAGGAAGCTTAACAGGAGCAGGTCTGACTTATCAGCCACCTCTCCTCAAGCTCCTGTTTGGAGCTTATCTGAAGCTACTGGTTGAAATATTCATGCAAGATTCTGTTTAAGGTGGCTCTTCAGCTGTTAAAGGAGCATAATGAATATTTCTATTTGCTCTTGTCCGGTTGAATGGTGGATTTATTCAGCAAGTACTTTGAGCTCCTTGCTTTGTGAGTAGTGGGTTTATTTATCACTGCTCCTTGAGGGGGAAGAAAAAAAAAAGTTGGTGGTCTTTCTAAGATTTCTTGGTTGAAAGCAGCAGCAGCAATAGAAGAACATGCAATTTGTCGTTATATTTTTTCCATTCAGTGGTTTCCCTTTCATGTCTAAATTCCTTTACAATTTCCCGTGTTTCATATTTTTCAAGGTATATTGATTTTGTTATCTGTATCTTTTTTCTCTCCTTTATAATCTCTGCCTTTTTAATTGCTGCTTCTATTTCTTTGTTTTGTTGAATGGCTTTAGAGTCAGGGTTGACTCTTCTGACTGCAGAATCCTAGTTGTGATTGCAGCCTCTTGATGTTTAATGAATACTTAGTTCTCAGCTTTTGTCATGATGTTTATCCATGTTTCTTCTCAATAATTTCACTCGCAGTCTTGACCTCAGGAAAGGGATCTTTTTGAAGTAACAGAGTATTTTAAGTGAATTTGAAGAGAGGGAAACTGCAAGTAAGCCAAAAGTTTAAAGTCTATTATTATTTAACATTTTCTTGCTCTTCACACTTTTCACAGTGCATCTACAAACTCACCAGAGTGTGGTGGTGAGGACTTGAAAAATATTTTCCCAAGTCCCCTGATTTTAGTTTGTGCAGTAGTGGAGATTTCTCTGCTGGTAACTTGGTTTCTTTCTTATCTAGTACAACTGATAGTGCTGCTTCAAACCATCAGACCACTCCTGCTCCACTGCTGAGAAGTTTGGAAAAGGTTGAGGGGGAACTGGGTACAATAAGATTACACTCACCAGCTGACAGCTTTTGATAAGACAGCCTGCATACTTCTTCCTCTTTGTTTTGTTTGCCCCCACAAAGTTTTCTGCTTTACTATGCACTTAAACTGCATAATCTTATAGAACCAAGTAAGTGACTTATTTTTGCAGATTTAGATGAGAGGGGAGCTTGGTCATTTTATTGCCGTGAAAGTGGAAAAAGCATTTGAGTGTGCTGTGAAGAGGAGAGCTTTTGGACAACGAGCAGCAAGCAGCATACTGTGGAAGCCAGTGCTACGATGGGCTGTCCTGGCAAGGTACTGCCTGGTGGGCTGGGTCACAACAGGGACTCAAAACTGAGAAGTTCCTTGCGATTTCAGCAAGGAAACAGTGAAGCAAATTAAGATGGTTCCTGGTTGGAGCAAATACCCCTGGTCAAGCAACCTCCTGCACCTGTCTGAATCTCCCCCCATGCTGCCCCTCTCTATATTTACCCAGTGGGAACTTTCCAAGAATGGAAGTGGGAAGATAAATGCTTGTGGGGGCTAAATTTAGCCCAGGCTCCCTGGCCCTGCTCCCTGTGGTGGCATTTCAGCTGTGAGCTTGACAGCCTGCGCCCTTCCAGTTGCGCAGAGTGGATGTCCATCCCTGACAGAGCAAGGGCTCTCTTTCTCTTCCCCTTTTTTAATTAAAACCGAGGAAGAATTCTCCATGGGAGAGCGTCTGCTTTGCCTGTCTTGGCTGTGAGCATCACTTGCCTCGCAGAGGTAAGGCAATAGCGTAACAGCGTGTGGGCAGCTTGGGGTAACTGGAGGTAATTTGTTAGCCAGGATTTTGAAAGCGTGAGTATGAACTCACACATGTTCTTTTTGTCTCTTTCAGCCCTAGCTGTAACCTCTTTTCTGGGTCCACAGGTGGTGAATGATTTCCTTTAGCCCAAGAGATGACAGCTCTTTCTTTTTTTCTCCCTGGATCAGGATTAATAACCCTAATGCCTCAGGTCCTCAAACTACCCCTCCCCACATGCTATTAGCAGTGTTGGATGGGTGACTTCAAAGCCCCAGTTCTTGGTATTAGTGTGTCTAATGAATAACAAAAATGTATACTTCCACTTATTTCAACAGAGATGGATTGGGTTAATTTAACAGGTGGAAGTGCAACAGAGCTTTGCCTTAATCAGCTGCCATCAAACTTGCTCTACTTAACCCAAAAATAGAGCTGCTGAGATGGCTTGGCACTGGGGAGCTCCCTGGGCTCACCTCTCCTCTCCATCAAAGGCTGATGTGGGACACATCTCCTGTGGCTTTTCCTTGCTACCAGCAGATGCACACTTGCAGAACAGGGATAATTGCTCAGTGCAGCTCTCTCCTGTGTCAAGGTGGAGATGATGGAGCCTCTCCTGTAGGAAACCTGAGTTACTGCAGGGCTGCCATGCCACAAATTCTTCTGTCCTTGACAGGCAGTGTTTCTATTGCATTCTTTTGTGCTAGTGCCACCCTGCTGCAGGGCTGTGCCCTGCAAATCCCCAGGCTTTGGGCCTGGCTTGTGTGTAACACTGTCAGGTGCCCCTCTCTTTTCTCCTTGCATGGCCAATGGAAAATCCTCAGTCCTTCCTGCAGCCCTGCTCCTTGTGCTGAAGCAGGCAGGAGAGCGTGCACTGTGCTGAACTGGGATGTTAACAGTTTAAGGAAGTGCAGTGCTACAAATCTTTAACATGGCCATACTCACCTTAACTTCATCTTCTATTCTGGAGTCCTATTTTGAAATATAATCCCTTTAGAACTCAACTGGGTGTAAAAATTGAATGCTTGTTTTGTGTGCTCTTGAGCAAAATCCAGTAATGCTGTCATCTCTTGGATCATTTGAGCATTCCATAGCTTTCATTGTATTCAGAAATGCAGTTGCAGGTGAAGCTATTTGCACAGTGCTGCTCAATATGAAGCAGAATAAATTCTTTTTTTCCACGTGGTCTTTTGTCAGGCACTTATGGGGCACAGCTGGATGGGGAGGTTTCTGAGGGTTCTGGGAAAATGGGAGGCTTTATTTACGAGCTGGGTGCAGAATGCTCACAAAAGTCTGTGGCCATACAGAAGCCTTCTTGAGATCTGGGTTTGAGTATCCCATGAGTGGTCCCATACCCTTTATCACCTCTGGGGACAGCAGTAAAGCTGTAAGCTAAAGTACTAAGTGAAAAGATCTGAGTTCATCCATGCAGCCTTTGAACTTCAAATTATCTGTTTTGGCACATTGTTGATTGCAACATTTTAAGGGGAAGTGGCCCACTTGAGTGCTACAGAGATGTCTTCAGTCTTTACATTAATACTTCACCAGCATGGATTTTTTCACCTATGGAGGCAGCAGGGTATGCATGTCAGAAATATAATAGGGTTGGTTTTTTTCAGAATCTTCCTTAAATGTGTAACAAATAATAATTAAAAGGTGAGGGTGGTGTCAGAGGGACCTGGTTCTCACCCTTGTTGTTGTCCCATAGACATCAGGTTTTACTGCTTACAATGAAAGTGGTGCTCAGAAGACAGGCAAAAAAAATGAGCTTAATGGACATCACTAAGATTTTCTCCATGCTCCAGCCCAGAGAAGATGAAGATGATGGTGAAAGTGAGGAGCTGAACCAAGTGGTATCTGAGGACGATTACCAAACTCTTGACAAGCTCTTGCACCAAGACAGGTACAAGAGAGTGATCAACAACAGGAGTGGCTGGGGTGTTCCCAGCACCCCGCTGCGCCTGGCCGCCTCCAAGGGCCACCTCAGGAGCCTGGAGGTCCTCCTGTCTCATGGGGCAGAGGTGGACAGTCTGGACGTGAAGGCACAAACCCCACTTTTCACAGCAGTCAGCAATGGCCACTTGGAGTGTGTGAAAGCGCTGCTGGAGGCAGGAGCCGGTCCCTCTGGCAGCATCTACAACAATTGCTCACCGCTGCTGACCGCAGCTAGGGATGGGAACGTTGAGATTCTGCAGCAGCTCCTGCAGCATGGTGCAGAGACCAATGTCCACGCCAGGGTGCCTGAGTGGGCTGCCAACTCCACTGCTTGTTCTGGTCCGCTTTACCTCGCGGCTGTCTATGGGCACCTGGAATGCTTCAGGTTGCTGCTGCTCTATGGTGCCGATCCCAACTACAACTGCACTGATGAGAGGATGATCGCGCGCATCAAGGAGCCCAAGACTCTGTTGGAGATCTGCCTGAGGCACAGCTGCCGGCGTGAGTTCATCAAGCTGCTTCTTGACTTTGGAGCCAATGTGTATTTGCCAAACATCAAGAAGATAGCACCTGGTAGTGAGGGCCTGGAGCTGCTGTTGCAGGCAAGAGGTAATCTGTGTGCGTGCCCCCAGGGCTTATATGGGGGCAAGTTGCTTCAGGTCACCTTCACTTTATTTCTACTTCCCATTACAGAGGGGAGAGATTGGCTTAAGCAAGTTTTCTTGCAAGCTTTGACCCTCTTTGAGCTTCACTTGAGAGAATGAGTCTCTCTGGTCTTAAACTATTGAATATTATCATTCTTTTACTCTGAACGCTTATTCCTACCTCCCCCCAGTGATAGTGGTTTTCACAGTAAGAGCAATAAAAAGCTCCAGTACGATGCATGCAAAGGATGAGGGTGTAACAAATGAGCAGAGAATAGGTCCAGCACTGGTAATGAAACATGATAGCTTAGATACACATTGCCTCACAAAACTCCCAAAAGAAATGGTTGGAATTTAGGTGGGAGTATCACGGAAGGACTTGTTTGTAGTATCTGCCAGCTTCTACTGCTGGCTGTTGTTGGAGACAGGCTACCCTACTGGGGGTCTTTGGGTGACGGTGCAGCTGCTGGTTATGTGGTTGTCCTCCGAGTTGGATTCACCTCACTCAATGTCTGCTGCTTGTAGCAATTTCACCAAGCTACTTTAAATGAGTGTTCTCACTGCCACTGGTGCTGATCTGGAGCACACAGTCTTTCCACAGGCTGGTATGCCTGGTTAACATAAATCTGTGGGGTTAAATACTGCTTTTCTCCATGTTTCTCTTTTTCTGCTGCTTACCATCATCTTTCCTGTGCTGGCTAAGTCCAGGGAAACTGCACTTATTTCAGCATAAATCAAAATTTCTTTCTTTATATCCAATTCCCATGAAAATACCCTGTGACCAACTGTGAGAGAGACCAACCCCAGCAAAAACACTTGGTTTAGGTGCATCAATTCGCCCTTTGCTGACACCACACAAGCTCTCCAGCAGGGTTGTGTATCCTGAAGGTCTGCAGTGATGATCTTGTTCTTCCTTCCTTTTCTTTCCACAGCTCATCCCAAAACCCTGATGTCTCAGTCTAGGCTGGTGGTGAGACACATCCTGAAGCAGGCTGGCCGTGCACATGCCCTCAGAGAGCTGGACATTCCACCAGTGCTGGTGAGCTACCTCCAACATCAGCCTTAGCAGAGACCATGGAAGACACCTGTCCCAGAAACATGCCCGGTGCCTGAATTAAAAGCTCCTCTGATGCTGCTGTTGCACAGCACAAAACAGATGTGAATTTGTGGTTAAAAAGTTTTGGGTTTTTTTTTTTTTTCTTTTGCTTGCAAAGTGTCTCTGAAACCTGTATGGAAAGATAGTGAGAGAAGGAGGAGAGAAAACCAGGACTCTTCAGCTCCTGCTGTGCACCGGCATATCAGAGTGATGGCAGAGATGGATCTGAGCGAAGCTGCATGTTGTTCCTCAGCTGTGTGTAAGATCTGTTTCCCAGAGAGGTACTTCTAAAGGTACTTCCTTGGTTGTGCAGCCTGGTGAGAGCAGCAGTAGACTGTTTCAGCCACATTCAAGTACCCTAACACAACCTAGATGTGGCTGTCACTTCCCCTGCACCCCTGTGCCAAGCCCTGATATCAGGTAAACACAAAGGCTGTTCCCAGTGGCCATGCTTGCAGATGACTCAGGCAGAAGTTGCACTTCATGTTCCCAGACAAAAATCCCTGAAGGCCGAAATCCCACTTCTCTGCTCAAGGAGTATCATTAAATGCCATTTTACTGAAAGTGATTCACATTACCGCTGAGGGCTGAAGCATCTCTCTTGCCTGAGTGCCTATGATAGTGCAGGATTTTAAAATTAAAAATGTATGCTAATATTTTTATTAAACTGTTGTGATCTGTTTGGTAAAATATTGTTAAACTGATCATGAAAGAGACTAGAAGCCCAGCCCATGTTATCTGGAAGTGACCGTTACGCCTGGACGGCCTTCATCAGGGATACATTCTGCTAACTGCTAGTTCCTTCACTCCAGCATTGCTGTTGAAATGAAGGCAAAGGGAAGAGTGTGTTCTTCCAAACACCCTTGGCAGAGTGGGCCATTGGCTTTGGTTCAGACTTCTGGTCACTATTAAGCTCCTGCAAAATGTCAGTGTGACAATGGCTCTGCACAGGTTGCTGTCTGCAAAACACAGGTACGTCCTGCATTTCAAAGGTTGTGGAGTCTATTCACTAGGCTGTAGGAAGTCTTTCATGGGAAGATCCCTAAAGCTTGGCATTCTTCAAATGAGCTGAACAGTGCTTTGGAAGTCACTCAGTAGTGCGGGGAGCGATTGCACGGGATGGAGCTGCCTGATCTGGTGGGTCTTGCTCTCCTCCAGTTAGCATAAAGCAGCTTCTTTCCAGGAGAGGATTTAACACCACAAGAAGTCATTCCTCTACCAGCCTGCTCGCATGTGGGAGCGCCAGCAGCAACAAATCCCCATGGCAGATGCCCTCCACTTCCAAGGCTGTAGTGCTGTAGCTCTCTATTCTGCTGCATGTGCTGGGTTGGGCACTCAGCTGGTGCTGTGATCTTCATTATTTCAGTCTGAAATGCCCTAACGTCCCAGGAAGTGTAACATCATGGGCATTTCACAGGGGTGATTCTTCTGTGTTGTAGGCTGCCCTGAGCAGTACCAGGCCATCCTCTGAGGTTAGCTTGCGCTGTGTGGGAATCCTCCAGCGGCTTGTCCACCACCAATTCATCTTCAGTGTTAAAGGTGGAAGAGTGAAGTTTGTTTCCTTTGCAAAGGCTGAAAAGGCTGTGTAATCTTCAAGCTCTGTCTATGCAGCAGCGTGCATTGGTGCTGCAGCTGAGCACATGTAAATAGCTCTTGTGCTACTCTTGTTCTAGTCCTTAATTTAAAATCCTGGATGGAAATGAGGGCTTAGGTGCTGATGTTGGATTTCCAAACTGTTCTGAAAAGGGCTGCAGTCACCCAGGCGCACCTTTCTCCTCCACCAAACCACTTGTTCACGTGCGGTGGGCTAAGAAAGTTCGGGTTTGGGGCTGCAGGAAGGGGAGCGCATCTGAGCCTCTGCTACGGGGCTTCCATAGCGGCAGAGCTGTGTCTGCGGGGCCGGGAAGACGGAGAACCGCGGCCCCACACCGCGACCCCCGGGCCACGCGCAGGCAGATAACGAGTGTCATAACGGGAATGAAACTGACTGTTTGCGTGGCCGAAAAACATCACGTTCTCAGTAATCACACCAAGCCAGTACCAGCCGGTGGCCTCGCGCCAGCTGCCCATCTTTATTAATTACCGGACATTTCGTGATCAGGAGCGGTGCCGCGAGCAGCACGCACGGCACCAGCCGCTCCGCCTTCCTCACTTTCTGACGCACCTCCTCTCGTTTCTGGCTCACGGCGGTTCAGCTGAGGGCGACGAGCGGGCAGCGAGGCTCGGCCCTCCGCGCGGAGCGGCCTTTCTCCCCGCCCCGCCGTGTCACAGCGCCCGCCCCGTCACGGCCCGGCCCAGCCGCCACGCCCGGCCCGGCCCCGCGGCTCTGGCTGGCGCCGCCCCGTCCCTCCCGGCGGCGGGCAGGGCCGTACGGCGCCGCGGCGCGCCTCCGCCGAGCTCCGATCGCGGCCCAGCGCGCCGGTAAGTGCGGCGGGGCGGCCATTGTGGCGGCGCGGCCCCGGGGCTGACGGCGAGCGGGGCCGCTTCGCTCCTCCCCGTGCTCGGCGCTCTGCCCCGCCGCTCCGATCCGCGGCGCTTCCCGCAGCGCGGCGCCCGGGGCCTGGCTGCAGCCCGGCGTGGCGGCGGGGCGGCGGGGCACGGAGCTGCTCGGCACGGAGCTGCTCGGCCCGGTTGCGTGGGACGGCGTGTCCGTGGGAGGGGGGCTGAGGTGGGGCTGCGCCGGGCTCCGCTTCTGAGAGCGGGGCTGGACCGGACCGTGCTGCCGCTGGGCTCGGCGAGCCCCGCCGGGAGCTGCTGTGCTCCTGTCCTCGCCTTTCCTCTGGCGAGTTCCGCGGGCAGCTCGTGGGAACGCGACAGGCCCGGCTGCTCTGTGTCCTTCCATCTCTTCGTCCTCCTGCAGAGCCCAGCCTGCTGAAGGGCTCCCAGAGGCGGAATGGCTGTGGGGTGCCCTGCTGAGAGCGGTGGACGATCCCGTGGGTTTTACGAGGTCCTCGGAAAGAGTTTGGATGAGGGCTTTGCAGCGGGCCGCATTGTGTTGTCAGATGTGGACTTGCATTCTTGGCTGCCTTTCTCCCCATCAGGTGTGACCCAATGGACGCTGTGCCGGTGCCCTGTCTTGAAAAAAACAGGTATCTGCGAGCCACAGATAGAAAAGTGGCTTGTCGTGTGGCTTTGTGTAAGGTGGAAATAACTGCATCTTAGGCTTCTGCTGGAGCTGCTGGGCAGCGCTGGTGTTCAGTCAACGGTGAAGCCCCGAAGCCAGCGGCCTTCCCCCAGAAATAGGGTGGCTTTGACTTTTTGTTGGGAGCATCTCTTTTCCTTCTAGGTTTCTGTCTTTCACATCCAAAAGCTGAACACTGGACACCATGAGGTGACGGAGAGCAGCAGGGACAGAGTGTGTGCAGAGCGAGGCACCCAGACAGCCAGGCTGGAGCAGGAGAGGCGCAGGAATGCCTCCGTGGGAGGGCTCTGCCTTCTAATTCAATAGCAGCCTTAATGGAGGCATTGTGAGCTCCTCGGGCGGAGCTGTTAAACTTACACTCATCTTGTAAAAGCGTTCACTTGCATGTTTGTTTTTCATGTGGTTATTACTTGCAGTTGTGGCGGCTGTGATCTCTGTGGAGGCTGAAGGCACAGTGCTCCTGGCTCATCCCGAGCTCTGTGCCTCTGCTGCTGTGGTAGCGTGGGTCAGCTTTGGTTGAGCTGAAGTCCTATAGTAAGGTGGGGTCATAGTGAACTGAGGGGGCTGCTGATTTGGGAGCATCTCTGGTGTGTTTTCAGGTGTTTGGGTGCTGCTCAGCTGTTGTCTTCTTGCTCCACTGCTGAGTGTAGTCTGTGGCAGCTGGGGGCTGGAGCACAGATGTGTTCAGCAATGTTTGCCCACATCTCTGTGCCTGTCAGTGTGCTCCAAACCCATTGACCTGGTGGCAGAACATAACAAAACGCAAAATGATTTTCTTTTACAAAAGGTGAGATGGAAACTCTGAGTGGGGGAAAGCTGAGGTTGGTGGTGAATGGCACGCTGCCCATCTCTCCCCTTAAAAACAAGGCCCTGCCACACATGCAAGTGCATTGTGTCCACCTACACTGTAGCATTTTGCTCACCATAGGACCCAGCCTGCCTGATTAAGTATGTAAATGCAGCACACTAATTACACCCTGCTGGGGTGAGAGTCGGCATGTCCTGCTGTGGATGTGGTCACACCAGGAGGAAAGGCCGGGGACAAGCATCACCAGCTCCAGGCACACAGATACCTGCCCACATGGTGCTGCACGTCGGTGTAATTATTGCAGTGACAAACAACTGGAGAAAATCACAGCTCTGAGTAAAGGAATTTTACAACTATAAAGCTTTTGCTAAATCGGGCCTCAGGATTGAAACTTTGAAGTGCTCTAGTTGTCTTTGTTTCTGAGACAGAATGACATTGATACGCGGCTTTCCGACAAAACGGTTTCTGTGGCATGCTGGTTTTACTGTAACAAAAATCATTAGCACAACAGTTTATTTGAGGATAGCGGCAGCACGTTTTAGCAGTTCCATGCCTGTCGGTATTGACAGCTGCAATAACATCCCTCTGTAAACTGAGGAATTAATGGCACGAATATGCAGGAGTGTCCTGGAAAGGACTGCTGTTTGTTTGTAAGCAGTGCTTGGGGAAATGAGATGGAGCGAAGTTTCCATGTGGGGCTCACAGAAGGAGCCGGGCTGTGCTGTTCTGGTGGTGCAGGGCTGTGCTGTGTGTGCTTGGGGCTTCGGGGCACCATGTGCATTTCTTGCTGCCTCTGTTTGCAGAGGCTTTGATTTCTGTTGCTGCATAGGGAAAGACCGTGGGATGGCTAAGGGAGCTCAGAGCGTGTTGTGTGGGGAGAGTTTGGAGGGTTTGCTTGGCCTAGGGAATGAGAACTGCATGTAGGGGTGAGGATGCTGTGGGTTGAATGCTGCTGAAGGAAAAAACAGCATGTAACGTGTAAGATAAAGGATGTATAAAATGGCCACGGATAAAACTACATTGGAAAATGGAAGATGGTTTGCGATTCTCAGGGCCGTTGACTTCTGGGGCAGGCTCAGAGTGCTCTGGAGAGACGCTCCCAACTGCTTTGTGGAGGAGCGTGGGGTCAGTGGGGAGGGATTGCACAGCTGCAGCAGGAGGGAGACTCGGTCCCTGGGGACGTACCCATCCCGCTGCAGCGTCACAGCGAGTTCCCTGCGTCTCAGCTGAGACCCTTCCCAGGATGGTAGAAGGAGGTCTTTTGTTTGTATGTGCGTTCAGAATGTGCTGAACTGCTGCTTGAACACACCGTGCTGCCTGAAGGCGTCTGGAGCAGGCGTGCACCCTGCCATGCTGCTGTGCTGTGTTCTCCCAGCCACTGCCCTGACCGGTGCCAGACGCCTCCTGCTGCACGGGGCTTCGTGTGCCTCACTGTGCCTTTGTCTCCATCACTCTGCACCATTGTTTGGGCAGTGAGACAGATGGGGCTCATTCCCATTCAGAGCTGGGACCCAGCTTGTGTGGCCTGCTGTTAGTGAGGCGTGCAGCTCCTGCAGGGAGTCCTGGGGATGCAGCCCTTGTAGCACCGTGCCCGGCTTTGCTCTGCACGTCTTTGCATTTCCAGCATGGGGAAGACGTGCCATGTTCTCCATAGAGGAGGGAGAAAGAAGCCTGATGTCATGGTGTACAACACGTGGCCTGCTGGAGGAGGCTGCTGTCAGGATCGCATGCTGCCAGCGCTTCCCAGACTGCTGGGGAAAGTGGTTTAAGGATGAGAGCAACCTGTGAGTTAGGGTGAGGGGATGCCTTGTCTGATGCCAGCCCTACAACCAGCATTTAGGCAGTTATCCTGGATTACAGAAATCCGTGCTCTTGCTGTGAGTGCTTCTGCATCCTAATCCTGGCGACAAGACAGAAGCTCCCCTGTGAGTTGGGTAAGTCCCTTAATTTAATGCCCCGTCTCCCATTTGTAGCATCAGGATGACGTGCCTGGTTTCTTGCTGAGAATTAATTGATCGTAGCTTGTCTTTGCTGATGCCTGTGAGAATTAATTGATCATGCTCAAGTGTCTGCCTCCCATTCTGACGGCTGTACTGCGTGTGTGCTCCCAGCTGACCACATGAGAGCTGCAGGAGAGGGCACTGTTCTGTTGCGCTCGGGCTCAGTGGTTCTTGCTGTTCTGGAAGTTCTCTGTTCTGACGTGGAGGAATAGAAAGCAGCGGGTGGATGAATGCTACCTGGTGTCGTGGTGTTTCATTGCAGGCAGACGTTTTCATGGCGGTTGTCAGGATCTGAGGGAATTGTGCAGAGCCCAGCTGTGCAGCTCTTCTGCAGAGCAGGGAACGGGTGTGTTCTGTGCGGCTGTCCCCACCACGGACGAGGGTAGCAATGTGCTGTGCTCTGCACTAGGGCTCATCAGGGGATTCTGGGGGGCTCTGGCCCTGCTGAAAGTCACGCAGCCAGGGTAGAGTTGGGTGAGTCCATTGATGGCAGTGGGTCACTCACACCAGCTAATCTCTGGTGCAGCACAAAGAAGGGATTTAACATTCTGCTTACCGTAGGCAGTGTCAGTCTGCATGAAGGAGAAAGGTTTGATGAGCTGCCTAAGGCCTGTGGTGGGTTTAAGGAATAAAACAGGGCCGTTTTCCTAAGTCTTTTAGGTGCAGGCTGTGAGACTCTCATCCTCTACCTCATTTCTGTTTTTGTTGAATGCTGAGGTGGTTGTGCCTTTTCATGGATGCTCTTAAAAGTCTCGAGATCCCAGCTGAGGACAAAGCAGGCCTTTGCTTTAGCTGGTGCTGGGGTGGATGGAAGTTGTCCCTAGTATAGAATCATAGGAACACAGAATGTCCCAAGTAGGAAGAGACCAATGGATACCATTGAGTTCAACTCCTGGCTCCACACAGAACCACTCAAAATTCAGACTCTACTTCTGAGAGAATTGCCTTAACACTTCTAGAACACATCCTCAGTGCCATGGATGTGCTGGAGGAGGGGATGCGGTGCTCAGCACTCACTGCTGGAGAAGCTTGTTAGCAGAGGTGCTTTGTCACAGTTGTACACTAACAGGGCCCCAAGCTCTGGCCCAGGTCAGCCTCTTGGCACCGGCTGCCTGCTCCCCTGGCAGTTTCAGACATGCCCTGCTTCTACCTATGGCTAGAGCAGGAAGCTGTGTCACCCCAAGTACAGCCAGATCTGCCTCATCCCGCTGGCTGCCTCAGGGAGCTGGGCACAGGTGAAGTGCTGTCTTTTACTGTTGTGATTTGTATATGTTTGTTTCTGACCCCGTTTTTGCATTCCATCAATTGTGTGTTTGCCCTTGGTGACTTTATTGTTCTGGCATCCATAAATAGCTGTGTGGTCACAGCAGTGAGCATCTACTGATGCCAGTGCTGATGTGGAGCCAGAGCGAGCTTATTTTCAAACTGAAGTCTTGTTCCTGTTTCATTTTTCTACTACTTTAGCAATGCACGTATACAGATGTTTGCATACTATTTTCTATTGATCCTATCTAATCAGGTCTCTCTAGAGAGGCTCTTCGGAGGCTCCAGAAGAATCCTGGAGTCACCCCAGACAGGCTTTGGATCTGCCCAGGAGTGCAGAAGTGCTGTTTGTCAGAGCTAGAGAAGCACTGGTTGGCCCCTGGGATGCTCTGGAGAGGCCCTGGAAGCCTCAGAGAAAGGGCAAACTGTGCTGTCAGGGATGTATAAGGTGGTTAAATCCGCCTCTGTCAGCAATGGCTGTAAATACATCCCCTTGTCTCCAGCCTCTAGGTGAGTGTCGGAGCTGTTCCGGGGCTCAGGGTCATGCAGCGAGGTCCCAGCTGAGCATCCTGCTGGCTGCTGTCAGGGAATTGTGTCAGACTCTCACCCACGGCACGGTTACATTCAGCAGGCCTGAATTCCACCTACGCCTTGCTCTCTGTTACCTCCAGCTGGCTCTGCGCCCGCAGGGCTCGAGCAGCCAAAAGAAACATCAGGCACGGGCACAGCCCCTGGGAGCAGTGAGCTGGGGATCCGGCTGTGCTGGGGCTCTGTGCCCCACTGCAGGCAGGAGGACAGGTCAGCCTGCAGCGCTGGGAGCAGAGCTGCGTCCTGCCCCATCTGTTTTCCCAAGCCACTTATTTTAGTGAGGAGGGTGAACACCAAGGTTATCATTAATTATGGAGGCAAATAAATACTGCGCTACTCTTGTATGGGTTCCCAAGGCTTGAGAGCAAACCTCACATCGTGGGTTGGCTGTTGGGTTATAGGAGCTGAAAGCCATCATTTGGGTGTTTTTCACTGAGATCTCTGGGAAGCTGTCCGGGCCTTGGGCTGATCAGAGCTAAGCCTCAGGTATTGCAGCTCAGCGGTGCATTACAATTCTCACTGGATTTATTTTCTCCGATCTTAATTCTGGAAAAGAAATATTACTGTTTTATTTCTGCTGCTATTAACATCAATCCAGGATGAAATTGAAAACCTACCTCTCTCTGCTTCTGAGATTATCTGATCAGGGTGGTTTATAATAAGTATTTCTAATGCAGTTTTATCTTGCTTGACAGATGATTTCGAAAACAATTGAAATTTAGTGAGGAAAACAAAATATGGTAAATGGCTGCTTTTGCTGGATGCGCAGCTGCCATAAGGGCTGCTCTCTGGCTTGACTGTCCAGATGCTTCCTGTTTGGTGCTATGTTCGGGATGGCTGGAAGCAGAGTTTGGTGTGTCTTGGTCTCTCTCCCTTTTGGAGATGCCCGTGTTTTCTGTGCTGACAGGCAGTTGCTAGCAGAGCAGAACCTCAGCGTCTCTGAGAAAGGTCAGAGGTTGAATGAGGTGGCTCAGGGCTCAGGTCTACCTGTCCCTGTGATGTGGTGCTATTGCCAAAGGCTATAGGTGGGTTCCGGAGAATTCAGAACAGTGACGTCTTTGTGCAGAATTCTAACAGGTAGGAGGTTTTTGCAGCTGTAGTTGCAGGCGGTGATGTAGCTCTTTGCCTTGCTACACCAATGTGTCACCCACTGCTGTCTCCTTATCTCTCTCTCCTTTCTTTTTGCTTTAGATCAGCCACGATGCTTTCATCCCTGTGCCTGCAAGAAGATTCTACCACCATTGTTTCCAGCTAGAAACACGAGAACCGAGCAGCTGCCATGGAAACAGGCTGCACAGAGGAAGCTGCCAGGACCCGGTTGCAGTCTGCAGCATGCAGGCAGTGCAAGGGCGGTGAGCAGCAGCCGGAGGAGAATGTTGAGCAGCTGTCCCAGCAGAGCGATGCCTCAGCCGTGGCTGCAGAGCAGCAGCAGCTCCCGGCACCCTCTGGCAAGCTGAAAAAAACTGCTTTCAAGTTATTTGGAGGGAAGAGGAGTATATGTACACTGCCGAGTTTCTTCAGCAGCAGAAACAAAGGCCAGGGGAAAGGAGCTTCTAAAAAGGGGCTCAGTAAAAGTAAGACCCACGATGGGATCAGCGGCACTGCATATGATGAGGGCAGTGGGGCACAGTTGGAAAGCCCTTCAGATGGAAGCAGGGATTCCCATCCTTGCCTGCTGCCAAGCTCCCAAAGCGTTCACGTGGCCATAGACAGCAGCATCAAGTTTGATTTTGGCAGGCAGGATGGCTCTCCACCAGGGAGTATTGAGGGCTATGAGAAGAAGCCCAACGGAGACAAGTCATCCTTCCCCAGACCAAAAAAAGGCCTGAAGGGACTTCTGAACAGCATCCGGCGTCACCGTAAGAGCAAGATTGCTGAGTGTGAGAAAACAGAGCTCTCTGAGTGGCCTGGGGATTCGGAGGAGACCAGCAAAGCTCAGGGCACAAAAGCGGAAACTCCTGGAGCTGTGGAGGAAGGAGGACCCGGGTCTGTCCCTCTTGCTGCAGCCTGCCCAGGAAGCTCAGCAGGTAACTGCTTGGTGCGCACAGCAGCTGACTTTGGGGAGGCTGCTGAGCCAGACTGGCTCCAGGCTGATAAGGGCGGCTGTGAGGGCGATGTGGTGGTAGTGCCTGGGGGCAAGGATGATCTGGATGCAAAACCAGAGGTAGATGCTGTTGTCTACACAGAGTCCAACTACAGCCATCTCCCTGTGGCCCTTCATCCAGACAACGACCCTCCCTCGTTACATTCTGGGGACCAGCTGAGTCTCCTCTTTGGAGACGTCACATCCCTGAAGAGCTTTGATTCCCTTACTGGGTGCGGAGACATCATTGCCGAGCCTGACATCCTCAGCATTGCTGAGAGCACGATCTCTGTGGAGCGCAGCCGAGACACTGCTAAACGGAGCCCATGCCTTGTCACCTACCAGGGAGGTGGGGAGGAGATGGCCATGTCTGAGGAGGAGTACCTCCAGCAGATGTGGGACAGCACCGCAGAAGAGGGCAGGAGCTATGAAGCCCCGCTGCCTCCTGCTGTGAGCAGTCCCGAACTGCAGGCAGTGAGTAGCAAGCTGGAGACATGTGGTCTGCGTGAGGGGGAGGTCCACCCCTATGCTAGTGGGGCAGTGGATGGGGTCGAGCTCCTGACACCGCAGAGCGACCAGCAAGAGTCCGCACCTAATAGTGATGAGGGATATTACGACTCCACCACGCCAGGACCAGAGGATGAGACTGGGGATGGACTTTGTGAGATCAAGAAGGACCGTCTTCCCAGAGACAGCTACAGTGGTGATGCACTTTATGAGTTTTACGAGCCTGATGACACACTAATGAGCCCCTCTCATGGGGAGCAATCCCTGTTTGAGAGCAAAGTCTCTCATCCAGAGATCTTCAGCTACTTCTTGGACTTCTGCCTCCCTTCTGAGAAGAACTTGATCCAGATGATGGATCAGAAGAGGGGGGTTATGGAAACCGAAGAAGAGCGGCTAGCTGCCATTCAGAAAGAGCTGCTGTTTTGGGAGCTGCAGAGGGAACCAGGCTTGAAACGACTTGATGCTCCCAGCAAAGAGAAGTGTCCCAGGGAAAAGCAGCATGTTGAATGTAAAACTAGAGCAGCCAACTTGATTGGCAAAAATCAGAGTTGCCTTGGTAGTGAGCAGATTGCTTCTCAAGCTCTGAACAGGAGTGTGAGTGGTGGGATTTTGGTGGCTAGAGCTGAAAATCCAGAGTGGAGTGATTTTCCAGGGCCTTTGTGTCCAGAGAACTGTTACAACAGCCAAAAAGCCCAAGGAAGTTGCCTTATTCAGCTCATGAAGAACAACCCAGGATTTAGCTCTGATCCAGACTGTGCATTGTTTGGGGGGTCCCTCCATGGCAGTGCAGCTTCAGCCAAACCGGGGATGTTCCCCAGCCACAGACCCCTGGAGCATGAGGGCTGCTCGCAGAGCGACCACCACGGTGGGGTGGATGCTGCTGGCAGAGAGCCCCAGGCTGACCGTGAGTGCGAACCTGAGCACGCCATGAGCTTCTCACAAGCTCTGGTGGAGTTCACCAGCAGTGGCACCCTCTTCTCCAGCCTGTCGGAAAGCCTGGGCAGCTCTGACTCTGGCTCGTCCTTCACTCAGAACCTCCCCGTCCTCCCCACCATGGTCACATTTGACATTGTCGATGTGGAGCAGGAAGGGGAAGGGGAGTGCGAGCAGCACCTCGAGATGAACGCTGATGAAGACATGGCTGCATCCTTTGAGGCCTTCGATGAGAGCTATGTGCAGAAGGAGTCGTTTGCTGAATGTGACGAGAGAATGTTCCTGGGGTACCCCCAGGGCTCCTTCCAGAGCTGTAACTGGGGGGTAGCCAGCCTGCCCCGGCACCTGCGTCTGCATGAGCTCAGCCCTGCCATGCCAGCACCGCTCTCCCTTAACAGGAGGAGCAGGTCGCTTGACACAGAGAGCCTGGAGTTTGAACTTGCAGAATTGCAGATTTCCAAGAACGGCCTTAAGCCTTGCCAGCTGTGGTCAAAATGGGACAAAAAGTACTCCGATGGAGCAAGAAGGAGCAGGAGCAAAGAGGAGGCAGAACTGTCAGCTCCCGAAGGTGGGGAGGCCAATGGTGTGCTGAGCTGGCCGGGCTTGCAGCACCTCCAGTACAATGCCGAGCTGGCTCCTGGGGGGATCAAACACTGGGGTTTTGCTTCAGCTGCTGGGATGCAGAGCAGCTGGGAGCCATCTGATCGGTCAGATGCAGACTCCCCCTTTTTGCCCCTTTCAAGGAGCAGTGCCAGGGAAACTCTGGAGAGGCAGCCCCAAGATGTGGAGCCAAACAGGCTCCTGGTCAGGCCATCCAACTTACCTCTGCAGCCTGACACGAGGCAGCCCCAGGAGGCGTCTGGGTCATATAGGTATCACGGAGAAGCCCCGGCCAAAAAGCTCGCACGTGTGCTCCCGCTGGGGGAGCCAGAGCCACCGCAGTGCATCAGCTTTGCCCAGTCCCCAGAGAAACCAGCCAAGTGCAAACCTGTCGGCGTCACCCAAGGAATGCCCCACTTCCATGACAGCAACGACACCGAAACCTTAAAAAGCTCAGCCTGCTTCACAGAGCGCTATGGGAGTGCTGGCAAAGAGCTGCTGAAAGCGAGAGCTGCGCCGGGGAGCGCGCTGCCCAGCGGCTGCCTGAGCACTGCAGTGAATGTAATGGGAGCCAAATAGCTCCTGCTGGGTGGCTGGGAAGTGGGGAAAGGGGTGAGAAGGGAGGGCGGGGGGAGGGAGAAAGTGAACACTAACGAGTGACTTATGTCGAACCGGGCCAACAAAGATGAACTTCTCTTGCAGCTGCAGTACACAGTCTCCGTGCTGCTGCCGTTCTGCACTGCTGTGGGTACTCTGGTTTGGTGCAGAGCAACCTCCCAGATTCATAGATTAACACTGAGGCACTTTTGTTTTTTTTCCAGTGCGACCCACCACTCTCGAACACAGTACACGATGCAAAATGTGGTAGCAGCCCCAGTGCACAATCCCATTGCTGCTAGAATAAAATCTGGAAATGGACCCATTTCTAGTACGGCAGGTTTGTTCTCTGCAGATGAAGGGGCACCATCACCTTTAAAAAAAGAAGCTGAGCAATTGGCAGCTGTGAAGGAGTGAGGAGCATTGCTGCGCTGTGACCTCGCTCGCTGTGTCGGTTGGCTGTGAGCGGTCACTTCTCCCACATTGGGGTTTCTCACCATAGGGCTGGGCTGCAGTGCGTGCTGTGGTGGACATTCCTGGAGTCTCCACTTCAGAGCTGCAGCCAGGAGAGCATGTCCTAGGGAAGCTTACAAAACAAGTTGGATTTCTTCCTCTTCTCTGTGAAACACTGTTTTTTTTTGACAAATTTTTAACATCTTCCATCTTGATCTTGAGTTGGGGAGCTGCAGAGGAAGGATGCAGGTTATTTTGAGAGCAAGGACAGGGGGCAGTTCAGCCGCAAGGGCAACTTTGCTGTCACTTTTTTTTTCCTGCCTGAAAGGAAAGTAGGAATGTTTGTGTGCGTGCTGATGACGCTTTCCAGTTCTAGCTTTAACGTGCTCAAGAATACAGTGTGCAGAGAGATGTTCTATTGATGGATTCCTTTTCAAGAACAAAGTGTCAGTCCCTTTCTTCTGTCATGGTCTCTCTTCATGGTGTGTAATTCCCAGCTGACACCTTTCCTATGCCTTGTCCCCAGCCTCTCCCAGGCCAAGGGCACGTGTATGACTTCTCTTAAATAAGCTAAACTTGCATTGGGCCTGTAGCTGTAAAGTTGCTGTTGCTGTGTCGCTTTTTGTTTTACATTTTGTGTTTATTTTCTTTACACAAACTCATACGAGGAAAGTATTCTATTAATTGGAATACAGGATGTAGCACAGCCTAAATTAGGCTTCATAACTTCTTCCTTCTAATGGGAGGGAACAAAAATGCTGAAGATTGCTACAGGCTTTTGATTTTCTTTTTTTTTTTTTAATTCCTCTTTTGAACAAATGTGGAGAAGGAACACAAGCATAGGAGACCAACGTTCTGAGGAGGTTGTCAGAGCTCTTGGAAACACGTGCTGGAGGATAGCAAAGCAGAGCTGACATTTTCCTGAAGAGGTTCTCAGTGTCCGTGTTGATCTGAAGCACGTTAGTCTCTAAACCAAACCTTCCCTCAAGCTGATCAGCTTCAGAGCAGAGGCGGGTGCCAAGGGACCTTTTGCAGAATCATAGCCTCTTGCCATCGGGCAGAAGGAAAGGACTTAAGAGATGGAGGAATGGAAACAGGTCCCTGCACAGGGTAGCTGGCAAACCTCCCTCCCCCCTACCCCAGCCTACCTTGCCTTCCCAGATGCTGTTGCACAATAGGTATGCAGCTCTGGAATTTAAGAGAAGCAGATGAGGATGTTGGTGAACATCCATCCAGGAGATTCTGTACGGTGAGTCAGTCACCCAGAAACTCCAAAACTGCCTTTGCCAGGAATAGAAGAAGGGTGATTGTCATAGGGGACTCTGTTCTGAGGCGAACTGAGGGCCCAATTTGCTGACCAGACCCTTTTCTTTCCCACAAGAAAGTCTGCTGCCAACCTGGGGCCTGGGTCACGGACGTCACCAGGAAGCTCCCTGGTCTGGTGCAGCTCTCTGGTTGTTACCTGCTTCTGGTAGTGCAGGCTGGCGGTGCTGAAGTTGAGGGAAGAAGCCAAATAGCCCAGCTCAAGTGCACCCACATCACTGGTGATGAACTGTGGGGTGAGACGGCACAATCGGAGGGGCTGCGTGCTGCTGAGATCCTTCATTCTGCTCCACGAGGTGCTGGGTACGATGAAGCGCATCTGAAACGCTTGTACACCAACACACCCTGCAAGGAACAAGCAAGAAGAGCTTAAAACCCTTGGCTCAGTCCCAGAGCTACTACATCATTGGTGTAAGCAAAACCTGGTGGGAAGGGTCGTGTGGCTGGTGTGCTGTGATGGGCGGTTACAGGCTCTTCAGAAAAGATAGGCAGGGCACCAAGAAGGCGGTGGGCATGGCTGAGAGCTGCAGGAGTTCAACAAGGGTCTGGGCAGTGCTCTCACACACAGGTCTGGTTTTTGGGTGCTCCTCTGTGGAGCCAGGAGTCTGACTTGATGATCTGTAGGGGCCTCTTCCAACTTGGGATATTCTGAGTCGCTTTCTGTGGCTTAAAAAACTTCTTATTTCTGTCCAACTGACTGAAAGTCAGTTACTGATGAATTAGGTGTCCTTTTTCCCAAATTGCCAATTTTCTGCTTCTCTTTGCAGCGGAAGTTGTAACATTAAATAAATCACAAACTGAAAATAGGGCAGTGATGCCCTTCTCCAGAGCCTGGCACGCCATGGGGGTGGCAGGGCTCTGCTCAGCACTGCTGTGGAGCTGAGTCCTTCCCCAGAGCAGCTCACCGCCCGCTGCCCACAGCTGCAGCACAGATACACACGTGGCTGTGGTTGGAAAGGCGGGCAGCTCCCTGGTACTGCTCTAGTTGTAAGGTACCAAGGCATGAAGAGCTTTTCTGTTTTGTTTTCCTAAGCAAAATGGGTCCTATGATTTCTTCTTGAGATGAGGCTTCTTACTGTCCTGTCCTTGCATGTCCATGAAGGAACAGGGAAAGGCAGAGCTGGAATTCCTTATGGGCAGCTCCTCTTATGTGTATGTTGTTGTTTGTTTTCTGAACAGATTCCTGAGGCTTGAGCAGACCCATCTGTGTGTCCTTGGGATTAAACCTTCATTTTTCAGTGTTTGTGCCACAAGCATCCCCTAACAAATGCTCCTAACTCCCTCTTGCTCAGAGTGAGCTCAGCCGAGCTCTGCTGCAACTCAGTGCCAGTTCCAAAGAGAGGATCCTGTAGTTATCACTGGCAACACAGAGCTGTCACAACACAAATAGGTGCTCACTGGAATTGCTTGGCCTCCGCAGTGGCCTCGTACAGGAATTTTAACCATTATCTCGTTTTACCGTGTCACCAAAGGCATCTTGTGGCTCACAGGGGTTTTGCGCGGTGTTTTGTTGTAAATGGTGCAGCCTTTGCCAAAGTTCTGGTGAAGGATGAAAGTGTCTCAGTGCTAAAATGAATGTTCAGTTGCAAATGCATGTCTGTAGTAATAATTATTTTGGTTGTAGGTACGTAGTGGGGAGACTTATTGGACAACAGTTCCTAGACTCTGATGTGTGAAAGCAATACAGCCAAGACTTGATAATCTGACTTTATACCAAAGGTTTCTCCTCTTAATTTGATTTGAACTAAACGAATCAAGTATCTGTTGATTTAAAATGAGGCTTCTAAAAGCATTTTTAAAATAATTTATTGAATTATTGGAGTATTCTGCCCCATTAACCCAAAGAAATAAGCATTTTCAATTTACTAACTTAGTCTGTAAGTTGTCACTGCCATAGATTGGATTTCAGTACCTAATGTTTTCCTTCTTCTATAATACCTTTCTGCTATGGAATAGATAGGACCTGATCTTCCCACTGTGCTTTACTAGTAGGGAGTTACAAAGGGACTACAGGTTGAATGCCAAATACAAGCTCCTGGGTCTTGATCTTGTCCCCCTGTGGCTTTGGGAGAGGTTTCTCACAGATAGTCCGAATTAACACATTGCTAGAGGGGGGAAATGCTGGTTCTTGTGTGGTGTTAACCCATTTTCAGAAGCAGTGCATCTTGGAATGAAAGGATAAGCTTTAAGGGGGTCCTTTGTCCTTTCTCTGACCTACCAGGCTGTTTGTTGATGATTGGGAATGCTTAGTGGCCAGCCTTTGTTGAAGCCAAACAGAAGAGGATTTGGTGTCATAGGGAGTGCTTAGAGCAAGTTATTGTCCCACTGAGTGGGATGCCATGGCTGCTCTGTGGTATGGGGCAGGGGCCTGGGAGGACACCCTTATGGGTTGTGAGCTCTTGGAGCTCTTTGACCAATGCTGACCTCTTAATGAGCGTGATTTTCCTAAAAATGTGACGGAGGAATTTCCCACCTGAGTCCTTGGACCACATGGGAGCTAGAAGCAGTCAGACCGCTCACTGAGGGCTGCAGCTTCTCATTTCTGGCTCAAGCCATCATCATCTAACCTGGTAAAATACAGACTTACCAAGGAACCTGAGCTTGAGAGCAGTAATTCTTGCACAAAAGAGGTCTGCGGAGACAGAAATGAGGCATACAGCCCGGGGTGAGCAGCTCAGTCTGGCCGAGGTGTGGAGGAACACCCCCTAAGCCTCACGGAGCTCAGTGCATCCAGGGAAAGCCTTGGAGAGGTGGGTCGTGGCTGTTTGCTGCCGACCAACCCCTGACCAGGTCAGCCTACCAAGTAGCTCTGTATTGCGTTTTGGGGACTTTGTTTGTTTGTTTTTTATATACGCATAAGAAAACGGTCGATTTTATCTATTTTTGTATAGTTTTGCATTTTATATTCATGGGGAAATTTTATGGACTGTTCTTTTACTTACGTACGTTATGTGTTTCAAAATGGTGCGGTTTACAGTTCTGATGGAGAAACAGCAATTTATTGCTGCCACTGCTGCTGCCACTGCCTGTGCAATGCAAGAGACCCACGTTGCTCCCCACACCCCCGTGCAGAGTGCTGTTTGGCGTCGTCTGAAGGAGCAGCTCTAGAAATGAGAAGCCAATCCACTGCCACTGCACACTCCGTGTGGACACCGCCAGGATGTCTGTTTTGATACTGGTTTGTCACTCTTGTCAGCTGTTTCTTAGCTTTGTTTTGAATCTGAATTTGTGCACCGTGGTGATTTTTCCCTGAAAGTGTTGTTGGTTGTCTTTAAACAAACGCCCAAACCGTGTGGATTTCAGTTTGGGAATTCTCTGTGTGCTTCAATTATGTTGTCCCAAACCGGGCTCTCCTCTGTTCTCTTCAGCCATTGCAGGGCAGGAGGTGCTGTTGGCTGCTCTGGGGTGATGGAGAAATGAGTGGAACAACATTGCCTTGAACTGTGGGGTCACAACCAAAAGGAGAGCTCTGCGTATGCTCAGACCCAACACTAGTTAATGTGGATTATTTTTTTTTTAATGGAATGAATATGCTGCTTTGTTTGCCTGACTCAGTGCCCCTGCAGAGTTTGCAGCCCTGTGTGGGGTACGAGGCTGACATAACTCTGCAGAAGGTCGTGATGATCAGCTGAGCAGAGAACAATGCCCAGCGCTCATGTGCAAAAAGAAAAAGCTGAAAACCCATTTGTCCCTTCTTCCCCCCTGAGCCAACACCAGCAGAGGTGGCAGTTCCAGGCTGAGACGTTTGGCTCTGCTCGGATTTCTGTGTCCTTTAATTCAGCAGCTCTTAACAAACAGGGGCACTGTTGGGGTTCCTTAGGATGGATCAGGGCGAGATGGCAGCTCTCCTGGCATCTGATCCCAGGGCCCACAGTGCAGGCAGCACATGGGAACCGAGGGGAGCCCAAGGGAAGCAGAGCTGCCCCAGCTCTGTCCCTGTGTCCCCGTTGCAGCCATGCAGGGAGCCCCATCCAGCCCGGCTGCGTGCTGCCCTGTGCCAGGTGCCAGGTTTGGGGCTGTTCTGTTTTCTTTTGGTCTCATTGCTACTCATCCTCTTGACTTTTTAATGTACTGACTGTGTTTTAAACTGAATGTTCCTTTCACTGAATTCTAACAAATAAACTTCAGATTTTTAGAGAACATCTGATTTTATTCCTGCTTTGTGTATCAGGCTTTCTTATGCTTGATTCCATCTTTCTCTTTTCCCACCTCTCCCATTACACTGTGAGCAGGTTGCAAAGATGTGCTTCAGAGAGCACAGTGAGCTGCTGTCTGCCATGTGCATAACCTTGTCCAAGCTGTGATACCGAGTGCACTCTGCAGCACGACCCTCCTTGAGGCTCTGCCCTGAGCCAAGCTTTCCCCTCTTTCTCTGCTGTTGCTGAGTGCACATGGGTATTTGTCCTTGCAAGAAGCATTTCCAGGTGGTAGAAACACATGGTGGGTGGCTCTGATCCCTCCTGTGGTCCCCTGGCTGTGGAGAAGCATCACATCCTTCTGCACTGCTCATCTTCACACTGCCCTGCTTGAGAGCTTTTCCTTTTCAGGCCCCAAACCTTCAGCATTTTCATTTAGAGCCAACCAAGCTGCGTTGGCTTAAGCTGTCACTGATGTACTGCCAATGCAGTGCTGTTGGTGGTGAACTCTGTGGTCCCACAGCTGCTCTGTGTGCCTGTCCAGCAGTGCCACCAGCCCACTGAGTGCCCTGGGGCCCAAGCGGCCCCAGGTGGCTGTATTCACACTGCTGCCTCTAATGGGAGGCAGCTGGGACTGACTGGTGCAATCGCGTCCTTCAAAGCTGCTCCTTTTAACATTTAATTATTATTTATAGGACTGTGTTCTGATCCTATGGGAGGGAGAGGCTACAGCCCCCTGCCCGTCCCGGAGGAGCCATGGCTATAATGGGGTTGACCCCTTATGGCATCTAATTGAATTTAGGGAGGGAAGAACTCCCTGAGCAGCGTGAAGGGAGGACGGAGCGGGGCAGGCACCAGTGTCACTGATGGATGAGCCCCAGTGCTTCGCTGCATCTTAACCATGGGCAGGAAGAAAACAAACAGTGACCGCAAATTACACGGGATACATGAGCACGACTTCGGCCTGCTGGGACGGAGCCTGGGGTGTCCCTCCCAGCGGGGAGCTCTCAGGTCAGTGCTGATCACCTGCTGCTGAACACAGCTCCCTCGCTGCAGCTGAGTGTGGGTGCTGAGCAAACATGCTCAGAGCTGCCTGTCCTCATGTGGATGTGTTCCACGCTTAAAGTGTTGCTTTTGGTCTCATTTCTCTTCCTCAAAGTGGTTTCCCAAGGGCTCAACGCTGGTCTGGGGACACCACTGCGTGCTCCTGTCCCACTACTGCTGGGAGTCCAGGAGAAGGGCTACTTCTTAAGGAGGCTGAGGCTGCCAGTTAGCACCAGCCCATTGATTAAGGCAGTTCTAGAATCGTTAAGGTTGGAAAAGACATCTGAGATCACCTAGTCTAGCTATTCACCTACCACCCATACTGCCCACTAACCCGTCACCCAGTGCCACATCCACACGTTTCTTGAGCACCTCCAGGGACAGGGACTCCCCCACCTCCTTGGGCAGCCCATGCCAGCACCTCACTGCTCTTTTGGAGAATAAATTATCCTTCACATCCAACCTCGGGGCTTCGTGGCCGTGGATTAAATCTAGCAAAGCAGGGCACCCAAAAAGCCACGGAGATTTATTTTTTAATCTCTCTATTTTTAGCACGAGGCTGAGCTCTGTTTGTGCTGGAAAATAAATCCCACCGGCCTGCAGCGTCTCTTGGAGCCTCCATCCCTCCTGGTGGCTCCTGCTCCAGCATGGCAGCACTGCTGGGAGGGGGACCGGCTCCCCAGACCCCCAGCTGGGGCCGGAGGGACATCCCCGCCTCTCCCCCTTCATTTGTTTGCAGCAATCGCTCTCGCCCGCGTGGATTTTTGGAGCAGTGTAGGTGCTGGGCTGACCTCTAAGGGAGAGCTCCGTAATTGCACTGCTGCGCTCAGCGGTGCTCCCAGCGCTTCCCGGAGAGCGTCGCTCCGGACCGCGACCCGAAGCGCGGTGTGCGCTCGACCTACAGACGGAGCCCCAGAGCTGCCCCTGCGGAGGCACAGCCGGGGGTGGAAGGAACCGAAACGTCACGGTTTGCGTGCATAAGGCGCTCAGATCTCTGCAGTTGGAGCGAAGGTTCGTCTTGGGGAGAATAACCTCCCGTGCCGTCCCTCGATGCCCACGCTGCGTTGTGCTCCGGCACCAGAGGGCACCGGGGACCCGTTCAGCCCAGTGCCACCCCCGGGACCCGCTCTGCCCCGGGGCACTGAGGGCTTTGGGTCCTCTCTCCTCTGCAAAACGTGCCCCATTTCCCAAAGCCAGCCCCACAGCAGCACCACACACACCATATTACTACTTCAGATACCCATCCCATGTAACTTCTGGCTTCATTTTTGTTTTACAGAGGCTTAAAGCAGAAGGCATCCTATTTTGTGCTCCCAGCAGAACTGCTCACAGCACTTATCCAAAGCTCAGGGTCCAGGGCTCCAGGACGACATCCCCTCAGCTCCAACCCAAGGATCGGGCACACCCTGGCCATGTCACTCCCTGCAATCTGCTCTCTGGGGTATGTATGGAGAGGACTTCTCAGAGACCATCAGAATAAGCCTTCAAGATCATGCTAAGAAGCTCCTAAAGGGGGAAAAACAAGTGCCTTTCCCCAGTATTCCCCTCAGGAGCCCCATTGGGTCCCTGCAGGGTGGGCTCAGGGATGAACAGCGTGGCGTCCAGTCACCCTGGGGTGCAGGTGACAACGTACTGCAACTGACACAGGAGCAGAAGGAGGACAGAGGTTGCAGCCTGCCAGGGATAATAATAAAATAGTAAAAATATTGCAAGACGGATAGTATGGGATGGAATGGAGTGGGATGCTCCATTCTTTCCAGTGTCACCCAGTCCCCTGGATGCAAACCAGAGAGATGGGGGAGATCAAAAATCCCCCTCAGCATGTGTGCCAAGGAGCCCCCACACCTCCATGGCTCTTCCATGGCAGAGTAGCACCAAATCACTCAAACACTTGCAGATGTGGCAATGGGACAGCAAAAGCCAAGGAACCACAACACAGCATTGGGACTGCACATAAGAAGTAATAGGTATGGGATTGTGAGGTGTGGTTTCCTGGGTGGAAGATGAAAGAAGGGTGATTAGATGCTCACATGTTGCCATTCATTAAATAAGGAACGGTTTATTGTTGAAAGAGACCTGGTGAATTTGGGGGTTCCTCAAGAAACTGCACTGCAACCACTCTGCAGGAGGAAGGATGAGTGAGTGAGGAAGCCCCACTTTGTCCTCCTCTGAGCTCTGCTTTGGTTTTTGAGCAGCAGCACCGTTGGGTTTCTTTGCCATCTTCTGAGGCCGGAGCAGCCACCAGCATGAAGGGTGCCTTGGTTTAATGGGACCTGGGGCTGGGGGTGGCAGACCCGGCTGTGCCATGGGGAGCATCTCCAGGATTATGGAATGCCAAAAGCAAAGAGGCATCAGGTATGATTAAAAAGTGATTAAGGCTGATTTTGAAAAACAGGACTTGGGGAAACAAATCTTAGGAGAGATAAACGGGGATTTCCTTGCTTGATCGGTGTGGTGTGTGAGAAGGGAAGTAACAGAGACTGAATCTGACGGAGCCTGAACCTCACAGATGTTGTTTGTGAATTTTGCAGTTTTTGGGGGGCGTGTTTTATTATTGCAATGAATGGAGCCTGCAGCAAACAGGCTGGAGCCTGAGCACCCCTGGTCCCAGCAGATCAGTTCTGCAGCCTGGGGCTGAGCTTCTCCGCCATCAGCACCTGTGTGGGACGGGGCAAGCTTGGATCTCTGCAGTCCTTTCTTTCTCCAAACTTTTTTTTCTCCTCACGCTTGGGTTCACTCGTTGCTCCATGGGCACCGTGCATGGATTTGGCCTCTGAGGGCAAAGCAGAGTTTGTGCTTCCCTGCTGTCATCCCCATAGGGGACCACAGTGAGGGCTGGGATTCATTACAAAACTACAGAATCATTAAGGTTGGAAAAGACCTCTAAGATCACAAAGTCCAACCATCAGCCCGTCCCCATGTACCTACTAACCACATCCCTCAGTGCCACATTGGCCCTTTTCTTGAACACCTCCAGAGATGGTGATTCACCCACCTCCCTGGGCAGCCTGTGCCACTGCCTCACCACTTTCAGAAGAATTTTTTCCTACTATCCATCCTGAACTTCCCCTGGTGCAACTTAAGGCCATCACATCCTGCCCTAGTGCTGTTACCTGTGCCACATCCCACCCCACTTCCTCTTGCCTTCTAGCAGGACAGCATTGAAGCCAGGCTGTCACAGCCCCAAGGCACTGATGGCCCTTAATGGCCCTGAGCAGCCCCACCTGTGTCCCACACCCACCCCTGTGGGCCCAGGAGCCCATTTAATCCCAGCTGGGGTACTGATTCCTCCCCAGGCACAGCCCACGCCTGGCCATCTTGAGCGCACTGCCAGCCTCACAGCTGTTCCCAGCCTTTGGGCCACCCAATGCAAAGAATGGGTGGGTGCTGTGAGGCCAGGCAGAGCCTTGTGTCTGGGGAGGGGTGTTCTATACAGGATGCCCTGTATAGAAATAAAACCATCCTTTATACAACCGCACAAGGCCGGTGGCTTTTGTTCTTGCTCCAAGAACTGTCTGATGAAGGCAGCTATCCTCAGGCTCAGGAAGTGTGCAGGAAGGTTTCCAGGCACGGAAAGCAGCCGAAGCCCCAAAGGTGGGCAAAGTAGAGCAACCCCTCCTGCTGCAGGTCTGTGTGCTACATGCCGAGGGGTGCAGTGATGCTCTGCTTGGTCCCATTTCTTCTTGGGTAAATTGTTGGTTTCAATAATAAAGTGCTTCATGGTGTGAAGCTTGAAAAAAAACGTGAAATCTGGAGTTGCACCAAGCCCAGGAGGGAGGCGTGCCGCTGACTATTGTTCCTTTAAGGAAGAACAACAAGAAACCAGACGAAAAAGAGCTCCCAGCCACCAGCCCCAGTCTGGGGGCACTGGAGCCAGTGGGAGCCCCGTGCCCAGGAGGGAGGAGGCTGCAGCCCCCAGGGGGAGGGGACCCGTGACTTGCATCAGCACCAGCTTCACTCGGGGAGGTGTTCCTGAGCTAACTTTCTCTATAACGCAAACCAAACCCCTCCGAGATGCTCGCGGTGCTGTCGGCTGCTCTCTGCGGCTGTGAGGAGTTCTTCATAACGCCCGGGGCCGGAGGAAGCGGAGGAAATGGAGCCGATAGGTGGAAGCGTGTCCCCGTGCGGCTGGGCCCCGCGCTGCCCTGCTCCCTTCCCGCGGCTCTGCTGAGGCTGCAGGTCCGCTCTGGGGGAACGCGCTGTAGCGCAGTGGGGATTTCTAGGAGCGGCAAAGGGCTGCTGAGATCTGAGCTGCTTCCCAGCTAGTCCCCACCTTGTGGAATTATAGAGGGAGATGGCAAAGCCTGCCGTGCTGAGTCCACATGAGCTAAATAAATGAGGAGCGGGGAAGCGTGCTCCTCTGTGGGACAGCAGACAGGGAAGTCCCCGAAGGAGCCTGAAGCACCTGGACTGAAAAAGAATGTGGGGATGTCACCATTACACTGCTTTCAGTGCATGCATCGTGCAAGAAGGGAACCTCCAGAGAGGTTCAGGTTGGATATTAGGGCAAATTTATTTTCACAAAGAGAGGCAAAGTGCTGGCACAGGCTGCCCTGGGAGGTGGTGAAGTCATGGTTCTCAAAGGCTGCCAGCTTTGCCCTACATCTGCCTGGTGTTTGTTCTCTCCCTGCAGGGATGCTGGGGGAGTCACGTTCAGGCAGCGCTGGAGCAGTGACTGCTGGGTGACGTTCAAAGCAAAATTCATTCAACTCCACCACTGATTTCTCCCCCTGGCTCCACAGCCCCTAGCCTCCACTATGAGCAGCATCACTCAGCACCCATCCTGGAACTGGGACAGAGCCGTGCTCTTCTGAGTCCACACAAAACCACACAGCCAGGGCAGTTGGGCCCAAGTCCCCAGTAGCTCATTCCCCAGTCCTCTATTTACCTTCTCTTTTTCTCTTTCTTTTTTTCCTCTCTCTTTTTTTTTTTTTTTTTTTTTTTTTTCCCCTCCAGCATAGCCCAGAAGCAGCTAAGGAGACCCTGAAATACTTCCAACTACAGCACAGAAGTACTTGAGGTCCTTCTACTCCCATTCCAATGTTCAGCAGCCCTGACCCCAGCACCCCCTGCAGCCAGTTATGGGGAAATGAATTGCTCAGTGAGCTGCACCTGCGGCTCATTTAATGCAGCTGTTGGTAGGGGTTGGTTCAGCAGAGGGAAGGAGCACCTGGTCTGGGAGCTGCTCTGTGAGGTGCACGGGCTGACGAGATGGTGGTGCTCATCCTTACAGGCGCGCCCCCACGCCGGGCGCTGACCGGAGGCAGAGCTGTGCTCGTGGGGCTCAGAGCTGTGAGCTCACCAAGTGCCCGGTGTGCTCGGCCCGTGCTGCCTGGGGCCTCTGTGGGGTGGAAGTGGGAGCTGGGCCGTAGCGGGAGCCGGGATGGCGGGCTGCCACAGGTGCGTTCCTAACGAGGGGCTCCGTGCACGCGGCCAAGCCAACGGACTGCGCTTAGCCCAGGTGCGCTCCGAGCCGCACAGAAGGGATGAAAGAGAGCCGTCGGTGAGGGCAGCCCCGCGGAGGATCCCGGCTCAACCTGACAGAGCTCGCAGCCCGGCGCTGGGCACGGCGGAACCGCTCGCTCCCGCACGTGGGAAGCGCTCCCAGCGGCCCAGAGGCGGCCGCACTTCCTCCGATTGTCCCGGCCGGGCCCTGCCGGCAGAGCCTCGGGCGCGGGGCGGTGCGGAGCCTCCCCCGCGCTTCCCCCGGGCCGGGCGGCGCCGCGCACACTGCGGGCGGCGGAGAGGAGGAGGAGGAGAGAGAAGAGACGGGTGGCCGCGCTGCACCGCACCGCCGCGGGAAGTTTCCGTCTGGGCTCCCGTTCGCATCCAACTCGAGACTTTTGAAACAACTCAATTTCTTTAATTTCCTTTTAATTTAACGTATTGTAACTATTATCATTTATTTGCTTTTAAGTTTTATTTTCTTTTTTTTCCCCGCGAGCGGCAGCGGCCGGCGCCGGGCGGGCCCCGACGGGACGGGGCAGCGGGGGATGCGCGGAGGCGGCGGAGCTCCGCGGCCCTCTCCGGGCCCCGCCGGGCGTCCCCCGCGCCCCGCTGCCCGCGGGCGCCCGCCGCCCCCCGGGGCCGCCCTCGGCCCCTCCGGGCCGCACCGCGCCGCTCCCTGAGCGCTCCGCCCGCGGGGCCGGGGCCGGTGCTGGGGCCGGAGGGTCCCGGGCCGGTCCCGGAGCGCGGCGGGGGACGCCGGGCAACGGCGGCGAGAGGCGGTCCGGGGGGGGGGGCGGCCCGCGTGCATGGCACGGGCACCCCCCTTCGTCCGACTTTCTTTTTTGGTAACTTTTATTTTTGTTTGGACTAAGTAGCACTATCATTTTTTTTTTTTTTTTTTTTTTTCCCCTTCTTTTCTTTTCTTTTTTTTCTTTTGCATTTTAATTTCACTTTTAACCGTTTCAATTCCCGGCTCCGGCGGGTCGCGGGCCGGCACCGTGCCGCGGCGGGGCCGTGCGCTGAGGTAAGCGGGGGGTTCGTAACGCGGTGTTCCATTGTAATGAGGTAGGAATTGTGATGCGTTCTTTTCATCGTTAGAAACCCGAGGCGTTTCTTACTGACACTGAGCGGGGGTGCCCCGAAGGGACCCTACGGGCATCCTGCACTCGATTTGGTGGAGCTCAGCTTTGGGTGTACTCCAGCGAGGAGTATGGACTATGGGAGTATGTACTCCATGCGTGGGAGCTGGGTTATGACTCACTACTACCCGTCCCAGGTGTGTTGAAGCACAGCGCTGTGCCCACCTCTCCCAGCTGCTCCAAGTCCGGGGTCAGCGCTGTGTCCCTCCTGGTGCTGCCCAGACTCTCATACCTCTCCCCAACAACTCAAGAGCTGCTCGCTGCCCCGGCTCCGGAGTGCTGGGGTACGGGACGGGGCTGTAAGAAAGGAGGGGACAGACCCTTCAGCGGGGTCTGTTGTGATAGGATGAGGGGAAATGGTTTCAAACTGGAAGAGGGAGATTTAAATGGGAGGTAAAGAGGAAGTTTTTTTGTAATGAGGTTGGTGAGGCACTGGCCCAGAGAGGTGGCGGTGCTTCATCCATGGAGATGCTCAAGGTCAGGCTGGATGGGCTCGGGCTCCTGACGGAGCTGTAGGTGTCCCTGCTTATTGCAAGCTGGAGGGATGCCTTTAAGGGTCCCTTTCACTTCAAACAGCTCTATGACTCCATAGAAAGTGCTAAGCTGAGCTGGGGAGCCCAGTGGGGTTGGTCTGAGCCCTGGGGTGCCCAATTTCTGCTGCAAGAGGACTGCCTGTAGTGGGAATGTGGGGCTCAGGGCAGTGCTGCCCCATTTGTGGGCACTTCTGTGCTGCAGGGCTGAGGGTGGATGGGAGGTGCTGCTGCTGGGCAGGGGGAGCAGCAGTGTGTGGTAGGGCCGTGTGTTGGGGGGTGTTGGTGGGACGCTCCTGGAGGGCTCTGGGCTGGGCCTGGGTCTGCTGCTGGCTCAGGGCACGTCCCAGTGGGCTGCTGTAAGGGGTAATGCTGTGCCCTGCTTGAAGAAAAGTCTCCCTCAGTAGTGGGGGTCACATGCAGGCACAGAGAACAGCACTATGGCCTTGTGTGCTGTCACAAGGCAGCAGCACTGCTGGCTCCCGCTTGTGTGGGGTGTTTTCATTTCAGATTGTTGCATTTGGCCTTCTTCAGCCAAACCTATTGTAGCTGTCTGCAGAGCAGAGGTTTGCTCATCTGCTTGGTGCTGACAGCATTAATTTTCCATAGAGCGACAGTTATGAGGGCTGTATCTGTACATTACAACACTAACCTGAGCTGCAGATGGGGCACTTTGAGGACATGGTGAGGAATTTCAGCCACAAATGGGATGGGCACCGTGAAATTGCCCCCTGCGGCAGAGGTGTGGGCAGAGCCCCATCCCACTGGACCCTGTGCACCTGTGGCATGAATTAAGGAGGGCTGCGTGCTGCTGGCTGCTCCTCTTAGCCTTCAGCTCAGGAAGCCATCATTGGAATAAGAGTTGCCCAACTTTGTTGATTGGGAGGGCACCATGTATGGTGTAAGGGCGGTGCTGCTGGCATGGAAGGTGACATCTGTGTTTTGTGTGTTTGCTTCGGGTAGTTTCAGCTGTAGAAGTAACTTTGGAGCCTTGAGTGTGAAAGAAATGGTTTCTTCCCCCTCATGTATAGAGAAAGAAAGGATGTCAGTGGTTGATGAAAAGTACTATAGGAGAGGATGGGGAGGCACAGATAGCAGGGCAGTGCTGGATGCCCATTCTCCTCTCCCTTTGCTGCAAATGCGCCCTGGGTGTGACCTGCATTAGTAGTGCTGGAGGGTGGAAGGATGGGAAGCTCCCAAACCTGGAGCAGGGTCTGGCTGCACCTGTGCTGGAGATGTTGGTTTGGTCCATCACTGTTTGCCTGATAGTTGTTTCTGCATCTTCTCAAATCCTGGAAGAAGCCTACAGACCTGTGTGACTTCTTTTTTTGCTTGGGACTGTGATCTACTTGGATCCCCCACTGTGTCCCATGCTGGGTTTGTGCCCGCTGAGCTGACAGCAGGGTCCTGCAGGTAAACTCAGCCCATTCTGGGGGGGATGTTTTCACAAGGACTGTGCAGGGTAGTGAAATACCCGTGAGAGAAAGCCACATCCACACGTTGCAAAGGGCTCTGAGCAGTAATTCATTAGCCACAGCCATTCCCAGACCGCCAGCCCTTGCTGCGGTCTGCCTGCTTTCCGGCTCGGCTGTGATGCTGCTCTGGGATCTGTTGTAGCAAAAAGCATCCCCAGGAGCTGCGGACACATCGCCTGGTGCTGCAGAGTGCCTTTCTTGTGGCAGCTCTTCCCATGGTGTTTGCTGCCCGGAGCTGGCGCGCACCGCAGCACAGGAAATTCTGGTTGCAGCGTTACTGCAAAGCTATTGTTTGGGGCAAGAGAAGGGCTCGGCTTTGCTCACATCCTAAAATGAGCTTTAAAAGGATGTTGTGAGGAGCTCAGGGCTTGCTGCCGGCAGTGCTTTGAGCTGTGACCCCTGTGTCAGTGCTTGGATTGTTCATGGGAATCCTCAAGGTGAAGGAACTCGGAATGAAGGCAGAGTTTGGGTGCAGTGCTGCACAGTGCTGCTTGGGGGTGGTGCACGTGGGGGTGCGTCCGGCCCTGCTGCTGGGATGCCAAAACACGGCGTTTGGGATGGCAGCCCCATGTCTGCCTGCACTGCAGTAGTGAGGACAGACACCTAAACCCCTCTGTGCCTCTCTTCCCCATCCAAGCAGTGCAGAAATCTCTTTGCTCCCTGTTTTTGTTTTTTCCCCCCAAACGAATTCCTGCAGCTTAGATGTTGGCAGTGATAACCACAGCATCCAGGTTGCAAAACCCTTTTTCCTCAACCTGTGCGCTGCAGCCAGCATCTGATGTTTGGGTACCACTCGTGTCATGGCAGCAAGAAGGCTGGGGAGCTCTGTAGTGGGGATGCTCACCCTGTCACTCCCTCAGGCCCTCCCCATTGCTGGATTTTCTCCCACTTGTGGCATGAGTGTAGTGCTTGGTCAGGCTTCGTGCAGTGATGATTGGAATCACAGAGTCATTGAAGTCATAAAAATCATCTTGTCCAACTGTTAGGCAGTGGAGCGGAGCTGTGCTGGTGCTGGGTGTGAGCTGGGGAATATGGCTTACGTCTTGGGATGCTGCACTGGGGCGAAGGAGAGCCATTAATGAGTTTAAAGCTGCCTCGTTTCAGTCACACTCATTAAAAACGCCCATCGTGTGTGACACAACACAAGATGCTGCTGGGCCCTGAGTGCCACATCCCTGCGGTGCGGCTGTGCTCACCAGTGAGGTTCTGTCCCCCAGCAGCCAGGGAGTTTACGTGGCACGGTGTGAGTCCTGCACAAACAATTTCTTCCTGTTATTGTTGTGCTCTGCAGCTTTCAGCTGGACCAGGGAATGAGTTCACCCAGTTAGCAAGCAGGGCTGGTGGCTTTTTGTGCAAGCAGCGCCTTAAGTGCAAACGCCCAGTGTGAGCTGTGCTGGGATCCCAGCTATGCACTACTGGGGGTGCCAGGGGAGATGTTCTGCATCCAGGCACCACTGCCAGGGCTGCTGCTGCACAGGGACATCTCCTGGCACTAAGGGCAGTATCTGGTGGGCACAGGGCAAGTGCTTTCTCATAGCTGCAGCTCAGCCTGAATTTACTCTGCACCATGAAAACAGGGGTATGCCATGGGTTGGGTTGGCAGCGGTAGGAATGATAAAAGGAATGTCTGAGAGAAATGTGTGCAGGGTCCTTCTGCAACCAAGTGGATCAGGGTCACGTTAGACTGCATTTCCCACGAATGGGCTATTCATTTGCAATAAGAAATGGCTATGGGATGGCAAAGACCTTGAAGAGGAGTGTTTTGCTGAGGAGCTCTGGAGCTCAGGAAGTGCTGGGCTTTCCTTGGATGCATGCTGTAGTGGGTATGGCTCTGGGGCAGCTGTGATCGCAGGCAGTGAAGAAATAGTGCAGGTCTTCCTGCCCACCAACACAGCTGTAGGGCTCTCACTAGTGGGGAGCAACGAGGCCATGCTGCTCTGCTCCCATCCCTAGGAGTGGGCTGAAGAGGAAGGAAAAACAGGAAAAAAGTCAGTCAGTTGCTAGGGTGAGGTGATGTCACTTCTTGCTGTCATAAGCCAAAGCCAAGGTTGTAATACACTTCTCTGATGATAGTAAGTATTAGATAGAAATGTTTGTATAAGATGGATGTGCGTTTCATGGCAAAGCAGAGCCGTGTCTGGCAGAGCTAGAGGCAATTTTCTCTGAGGCACAAATTATTCTGCGATCTCTTGTTAATGAAGTTCTTGCCCCTTTCTCTGGAGCAGCATTTACCTTTGTCAAGAACACAGAGGAAGTGCTGGGTTGTGTGGGAGCCCTATGTGATGCAGACCAGCAAGTTTGTACCCCTCTGACTGCAATCAGTGAGTTTTGCACCCAGGAAGAATTGGGCAGTGCCATGTAAGCCTGTCTGTAATAAATATTAGGAGTCTGTCCTTATGGTTTTAGGCTTGAGGTTTCACAGTGATAATTAGTCTACAATCTTTCCAGGCACCTTGCTTCAATTCTTGGAAAGCTCTGCTTTTATTTACAGCTACAGCATAAACGTGCTTAAGAAGACAGAGCTGAGAAGAGAGATTTTGTGGGCAGCAGATTTAGGGCTGTGAGGATGTGCATGGTGCCACGAGCAGGACCCACCAACCCAGCCGCTCTGTTTTCCTTGGAGAAGCAAAACTGCCTTCATCTCAGTCCTAATGCAGTCTTGAGGGCAGATTGGAGTTTGCTGGGAGTGGAAGGATCTGGTCGATCTGCTAGGTTTGGAGACCTGGTCTGCATGAACAAGGGTGTTGGAGAAACCCCCCTCTGCTGCATTTCCCCATGTCTTTATATCCCCTCTGTTGTGAGAGTAGACATATTTCCAGGATGAGTATTGAGATCACTAATTTGAGTTTATCCGAAGTGCGTGTCTGAGCACGAGATGCT